GCTCACCCGGTGGGCCGCGCGTCGACGCCGGGGCTCCGGATTGAACGGCGCGCCCGGGTCCCCTCCCCCGGCCCGACGTGGCGCCACTGCCCCCAGCCCGTAGCTCCGGTGTAGCCAATGGCGGCGTCTCCCGGGCGGCAAGCGTGGCCTCCCGCCGCCAGAGGGCGCCGCCGCGAGCACAGCCGAGCCGCCGCCGCCGCCGCCGCCGCCGCTACCAGAGGGAGAGCTGCGAGCGAGCAGCCAGGCCCCGCAGCCGCCGCCGCCGCCGCCGTCCGCTCGCCGCCGCCTGCCTTCCGCCGCCGGCCGGCGCGTCGTCCCCACAGGTAGGAGTAGGTGGGCGCCGCCGGGGATGAAGCAAGCGCGCGCCCCCGCGCTCCTGTCCGCGCGCGCGCGCGCCGCCGCCGCCTCGTGCTCGCGCGCGGGCCGTTAACGGACGGCGGGGCGGGGGAGGGGCGGCGATCGGGGGACCGCGGACCCGAGAGGACCCTGATGGGAGCGGGGCCCCGACCGGCGCGCGCGGAGGGGCGGGTGGGCGCGCCTTCGCCTTCCCCCACCGAGAATAACGTGACCCACTTCTGCCTGCCATCCCTCGGCAAAATGTCTCCTTTCTGGTTATTTCACTAAAAAATTTTTTTGCTGTTATTTTTGCCTGCCCTGGTGATCGCGGGGACCCCGACTCATCGTCTTGGGTTTGGGGGCGGGGAGGTTGCCGGCGGAGGGCTTGGCTCATTAATTTTGGGCTCATCTCTTTTTTCACCCCCCTTCTTCTTTTTTTATTTTTTCGCGCGGGGCGCAGCTCTGGGCCGGGCGGGGGCGAGGCCTCGGGGTCCGTGGAGGAGGGAGCGCCGCCTGGAAGGACCCAGACCTGTCAGTTCCCATTAGCTGGGCTTCCGGTGAGGCCTGGGCAGCGCAGGGGTGGGGCCGCCTGCGGCCGGGCGGGAGTCTCAGAGGTCGCGCCTGCCTTGGGACTGGGTGGATTTGCCGGGAGTTGGATATTCTCCCGTCCCCACCTGTCTAGGGATGAAAAGGAGGTGCCCATGTTCGGTAGTGAATCACCAAGAACGTGCCGTGGCCGGTACGGTGGCCACTGACCCCCTCGGCCGTGTGGGACGATGGAGCCCATGAAATGGGTGGAGTTTGAGTTGTGGTCCCAGCTGTGAAACGTACATCTGATTTTAAATATTTAGGATGAGAAAGAACATAAAAGATGTCGTTGGTAGTCTTTTATACTCAAATACTTGTTGAGATTGCCATGTTTGGGGCAAATTGGATTAACGAAAATAATCTGTCATTAAAATTAATCTTGGCGGGGTGCAGTGGCTCATGCCTGTCGTCCCAAAAGTTTGGGAGGCTGAGGCAGGAGGTTTGCTTGAGTGCAGGAGTTCAAGACCAGCCTGGGCAATATGGTGAGACCCCTGTCTCTACAAAAAATACAGAAAGTTAACCTGGCTGGTGGTGCATGCCTGTAGTTAGCTGCTCGGGAGGGTAAGGTGGGAGAATCCGCTACTCGGGAGGCTGAGGTGGGAGAATCCCTGGAGTCCAGGAGATGTGCCGTTGTGCTCCAGCCTGGGTGATAGACTGAGACGCTGTCTGAAAACAAAGAAAAAAACAGTTAATCTCACTGCTTTTATTTTTCCTTTTTTTTTTTTTTAAGTGTGGCTATTTGGAAATTTAAAATGACATGTATGGGCTGGGCGGGGTGGCTCACGCCTGTAATCCCAGCACTTTGGGAGGCCGAGGCAGCTGGATCACCTGAGGACAGGAGTTCCAGACCAGCCTGGCCAACATGGTGAAACCCTGTCTCAAATAAAAATGCAAAAGTTAGCCGGGCGTGGTGGCGCATGCCTGTAATTCCAGCTACTGGAGAGGCTGAGGCAGGAGAATTACTTGAACGGGGGGGGGGGGGGGGGACAGAGGTTGCAGTGAGCAGAGATGGTACTGCTCACCCTGGGCGACAGAGTGAAACTCCCTCTCTAAATAAATAAATAAATAAATAAAATCACACATATGGCTGGACAGCACTCAGCTGGGGCATCCGAGTGGGGTGGCTCTGAGAGCCAATCTGCTTATCTTTCCTGCTTCTGTCATGGCATGTGGCCTCCTTCCCTTAAGTCTCTCAAAGCATCCACTGCCTCTTCTCATCCTGAGCCAAACTACTGAACTGAAGTACAATGGGGTCTCCTAATTTGCGGAATAATTCAAGTTAATGGACAGAGTTTTCCCTATTGAAAAATGTTCTCTGCTGTATGCTGGCAGCTACAAATACTTGTATGAGGTTTTGCTTACAATGAGTTATTGAGGCTGAATATTATCAATATTTGTGTGTGTGTGTGTTTTGCAAAGAGCCCATTGATTTTCTGCCATCCAAATGAAGTGGAGAATTCCTACCTTTCTTTATGTTACTGTGACTTTGGGTTGGGGGTTTTACACAGACTGACATCCTCTTTCCATTCCCTAGATTCTGTCAGTTTCTGCAAATAACAGCGGTGGTTTTGTCAGCCACATTGTTCCACAATTCTTAATTTTGACTGATTTTAAAACCGGCCAATTGGGGTGGGTTAAATTGTCATTATAAGTGGAAGAGAATCAATTATAGAAACTGAACCCTAGGGAGGGTGAGAATGACTGTTGGAAAGTTTTGAGCATTTCAGTAAAGGAAGAAAGAAACAAAAGATGTCTGTATCCTGTTGCCAGATACCCTAGAAAGGGCTTTCTAGAGACAGTATGGCATGAGCAAACTTTTTGTCTTCTGGATAATGTCTTGAAGTGTTTTGTTACTTTTTTTTTTAAGTGAAAATATTTTTCCTCCAGATTTCTGATGAAAATTATTTAAATTATGAGATGTTGGGAACTCCAGAAGAAATTTTAGATAATTTTTAAGGAGAATTTATTAAAGTATTAATCTAGAAGTTTAAAAAGTACTGCTAGTGATGTTTTAATTTACATGTCACGAAAGGCATTTTAAATGAGGTGATTTTCATTTATGTAAAGCAATGAGGTTACTTTTTCACAAATAGCAGAAAGCTTTGTGTTTTATGAAAAGGGCTGAACTTGGAGTAGGACATTAATCTGGAACATTTGGTAAGAAGGTGAGAGTGTGTTGGGGTTACGTGTCCGCACACACTTGGTTGGGAAGACTTTGTCGGCTGGCGGTCTTGGGCATATCGTGGTGGTACAAGTGTCCCCAGACAAATCATTTATCATGAAGATTTTGCATGAAATATTCCTGTTGTGTTGTCATAGGTAAGATGAAATGTTCCTGCAAACAACCTAGCAGGGCTTGGGTGCCGAGGGAGGCTTTTCACAGACCTTCCAGATTCTTACAGAATCTGAAATCTGACAGCAGTTTCAAAGTGGATAGTTCTGTGGAGGGGGGGGTGGGGCGGGGAGAGAACTCCTGCCAAAATGTAACATTACCTTCCTGTTGTTGTTTGGCAGACCCACTAGGATGAAGTTTTCCTTTTTGGTAAAAGGGAGAAACTGTTTCATAAAGTATCTGGTAGGAGCTTCAACAATCTTTAATGTTTTACCACCTGGGTTTGCAGCCTTCTAAGGCTTGCATTGTGCCCCACGTGTTTTTGTAAGTGTTGCAAGAGCCAGTTAATACACTATTGCCAAACAAGGATGATAATAATGATACTTTGTCGTTGTTTTAAAGCTATTAATGTTACACAGAGAGACTTCAGTCTGGGCATAGAATTGAATATAAATTCGAAATTAGCATTTTTCCTTCCCTCTCTCTCCGTTGTTTTTTTTTTTTTTTTTATTTTTGTTGTTTTTTTAAAGTCAGGATCTTGCTCTGTCATCCGGGCTGGAGTATAGTAGCATAGTCATAGTTCACTGAAACTTCAAACTCTTGGGCTCAGGCAGTCCTTCTGCCTCAGTCTCCCGAATAGCTGGGACTACACATGTATACCACTGTGTACTGTTACTTTTTTTTTTTTTTTTTACTTTTTGTAGAGATGGAGTCTTCCTGTGTTGCCAGGTTGGTCTCAAACTCCTGAGCTCAAGCAATCCTCCCACCTCAGCCTCCCAAAGTGTTGGGATTATAGGCATGACTCACTGTACCCAGCCTATAATTTTTCAATTGAAATGTAGGCATAAGTACAAATGCTGGGCCTGGCAACCTCTGTACTGCATTCACTGGGATGCTTTGGTCCTGTGTTAGCACTTCTCGTAAGTTTGTTTAATATTATTTGTTTTAAAACATATTTTGTTCTATATGTGGGGCATATTCCCTTGGAAGATTTTCCCTGGAGTGGTGTCCTGACTCCTGGCCCACTGCATTCCTGTGAAACCCCTCTGCTTTGTCTGAATTGCATTAAATGACATCTGTTGAGCATATCTTTTTGTGTACATGTGTGCACATGCATGCCTGTGTTTCTTTCATTGCTTCTGAATGGCTTTAAAGTGCCCTGTTCATCAGAGCCATATTTGTCTTTCAGATCCCAGCCCAGGGCCACCCTAGACAGGTGCTCACTCCCCTCCAGGCATCATTGGCACATAAGGTGCAGAAGAGCCAGGTGGATAGGCTCTCGGGCTTGGAGCCAGGCTGTCTGGCTTTGAAATCGAGCTGTGCTACTTCCTAGCTGTAATCCTGGGCTGGTTGCGTCACTTATCTGCATTTCAGTTTCTTTATAGTACCTGTCACTTAAGGTTAGCATGAGGATTAAATGACTTAATACATAAAAAGCATGTAGAGCAGTGCCTGACATCCAGTAAGAGCGCTTCATGTCAGCTATTATTTCTGTCTCAGTATGTTACAGTCACATTTCCCTTACCTTGATGTCTTCTGTTAATGAGAGCTAGTTTCTAAAGTTATCATGTAAGGTCAAAAGCTCATGGATGTGGATGTGTTTGTCTAGTACCAACATTGTAACTAGACTTTGGGATAATGAGTTTAACCTACCAGGCACTCAGTAAATACTAAAGGAATTCTGAAGATCCAGGATGCCCTTCGATCTTACCTACCTTCAAGATTAGTAACAAATTTTAAATCAGCTGATCCCAGAATAATATTCCAGTTTGCAAGAGTTCAATTAGTTTAATGAAATTCCTATTTAATTGAATTTCTTGCTTTAAAATGAACTGTTCAAAGTGTCTTCCCTTGGGCCAGGCATGGGTCACGCCTGTAATCTCAATGCTTTGGGAGGCTAAGGTGGGCAGATTGCTTGAGCCCAGAAGTTTGAGACCAGCCTGGGCAATATAGTGGGACACTGTCTCTACAAAAAGTACAGATTAGCCGGGTATAATGGCATGTGCTTGTACTCCCAGCTACTTGGGGGGCTGAGGTGGGAGGATTGAGCTCTGGAGGTTGAGGCTGCAGTGAGCTATGATTATGCCACTGCACTCCAGCCTGGGCCACAGATCGAGACTGTCTCAAAGACTAAACAAAAGCACAAAGTGCCTTCTTCCCTGGAAGTCTTTTTTTATTTAGGAGAAGAGGTGATCGGTGAAACTCGTCATTGTATACCTTGAGGAGTTGCTTTTGGTTTCAGGTGTTTTTCCATCGCTGTTTCCAGACAATTCCCACTATTTTAATTCACTTCCCACCTTGTTCCCCTAAAGGGTTGAAGGCCAAGTCTCACCAGAGCAGGCTCTCTTTGCATGGAGCCATTTCCTGTTGGCCACCCTCCTTCTTTACGCTTGCTTCTTGTGAACAGTTTTACCGGCTTCTAACTCCTGGGCCTCTGAACTTTGTATGAGGTATTCTCTTAACACTGGGCTGCTTACTTCATTCTTTCATTCAAGTATTTACTGACCTGGACCCAGATATTGTTCTTATAATGAAGGCTAAGAAGTACCAGGTACCTGCTGAAGTGAATAAGAGGGATGAGACGGGGTGTGGTGGCAATTTAGGGTGGCAAGGGAAGGTCCCTAACAGTGTCATTTAATCCGATTGCTGAATGAAAAGGAGCCAGCTCTGTGGAGAGCTGGGAAGTGTATTTTGGGCAGAGGGAACAACAAAGACAGTGGCTTAGAATCATGGAATGCCTGCGTTGTTCTGGGAGCTCATAAAAGGTCACTGTGACCGGAGTCTCCTGTGTGCAGCTGGGGGAGGGAGGGGCTGCACAGCTCCGGGACAGGGGTCTGCTAGGTCACTGTGCGGAGGCAAGGCTTCATTCCAGCATCCTGAGCAGCCGCTGAAGGGTCTTAAGCAGGAGTGCAAGAACTGGGGTGTGTGTGTGTGTGTGTGTGTGTGTGTTTTAAAAATTGTTGGCCAGGCGCGGTGGCTCAAGCCTGTAATCCCAGCACTTTGGGAGGCCGAGGCGGGTGGATCACAAGGTCAAGAGATCGAGACCATCCTGGTCAACAAGGTAAAACCCCGTCTCTACTAAAAATACAAAAAATTAGCTGGGCATAGTGGTGCGTGCCTGTAATCCCAGCTACTCGGGAGGCTGAGGCAGGAGAATTGCCTGAACCCAGGAGGCGGAGGTTGCGGTGAGCCGAGATCGCGCCATTGCACTCCAGCCTGGGTAACAAGAGTGAAACTCCATCTCAAAAAAAAAAAAATTGTTTTAGGCCTGGTGCTGTGGCTTAGGCCTGTAATCCTAGCACTTTGGGAGGTTGAGGAGGGCAGATCACAGGGTCAGGAGTTTGAGACCAGCCTGGCCAACACAGTGAAAACCATGTCTCTACTAAAAATACAAAAAAAATTAGCTGGGTATGGTGGCAGGTGCTTGTAATTCCAGCTACTTGGGAGGCTGAGGCAGGAGAATCACTTGAATCCAGGAGGCGGAGGTTGAAGTGAGCCGAGATCGTGCCACTGCACTCCAGCCCAGGTGACAGTGCAAGACTCCATCTCAAAAAAACAAAGAAACAAAAACTTATTTTAGAGACAGAGTTTTGCTCTGTACCCCAGGCTAGAGTGCAGTGGTGTGATTATAGGTTGCTGAGCCTTGAACGCCTGGGCTCAAGCGATCTTCTTCCTTTAGCCTCTGAGTAGCTGAGACTACATACAAGTGGGAGCCACCACTCTGGGCTGATTTGTGTTTTTATTTTTATTTTTAATTTTATTTATCTATTTATTTTCGAGACAGAATGTTGCTCTGTTACCCAGCTGGAGTACAATGGCATGATCTCAGCTCACTGCAACCTCTGCCCCTCGGGTTCAAGTGATCCTCACGCCTCAGCCTCCCAAATAGCTGGGATTACAGGTGTGTGCCACCATGCCCAACTAATTTTTGTATTTTTAGTAGAGACGGATTTTATCATGTTGCTTAGGCTGCTCTTGAACTCCGGACCTCAGGTGATCCACCTGTCTTGGCCTCCCAAAGTGCTGGGATTAGAAGAGTGAGCCACTGCGCTCAGCCCCTACATCATTCTTTGTGGTAAAATGGTGGGGTAGGTTTAAAAAATATTTCAAGATGAACCACATACCAGAAGAAAATATAGGAGTGAGTATTTTGCAATATCAGAGTAGTGAAAATATTTCTGAGTATGTCAAAATCCAGAAGCCATAAAATAAAATACTGATAAATTCAGCCATTAAAAAAAAAAAAAACCCGTTGCTGTCAAAAATAACTAGTCAGAAGATTGACATCAAATTGGAAAAAATGCCACTAACATCAGAAAGGACTATTTTCCTCAACATATAAAGAGCTTCCATAGGTAAGTAAATCTCAGCCTGGAAGAAAACTGAGCAGAGGATATGAGCAAACAAGTCATGGACAAAGAAGTATAGATGATTCTTAAATCTGAATGCTCAGCCTTGCTAATGATACGCTAAAACAAACACAGCCTCACCACGTTGCCACACTGTTTCTTACCTCCCTGGTTAACAAGGATTCACACATTTGATAATGCCTGGGTGAAGTGGTGAACCAGGACTCCTGTGCATTGTTGGTGGGCGTATCGTTTGGTATATTATGGCAGTAGCTGGTGAAATAAACAAATACATATGCTCTTTATCCCATAGAAAAAAAATTTTTTTAATGGAGTCTCGTTCTGTTGCCCAGGTAGAGTACAGTGATGCGATCTCTGCTCACTGCCACCTCTGCCTCCCGGTTCAAGTGATTCTCCTGCCTCAGCCTCTCGAGTAGCTGGAGTAACAGGCACGTGCCACCACACTTGGCTAACTGTTCTATTTTTAGTAGAGACGGGGTTTTACCATGATCGATCTGCCCACCTTGGCCTCCCAAACTGCTGGGATTACAGGTGTGAACCACCATGGCTGGCCTATCTTATAAAAATTCTTTAAAGGGATGCTTAGATGTATATGAAATGCCCTGTGTACATGGTGACCTTTAAAGAATGGAAATAACCAAAACGTGCATTACCAGAGGTCTGGTGAAATTATGGTACAGCCGTATCACAGAAGGCAGTGTGTACTCACAAAGAACACACTGATTGGATACTACATGAAGACAGGAGGTGCAGAACTTGCTGGTAGCTCCAGTTTGAATAAAAAAGAACACATGCACAGAATACTTTTAACTTTTTATTTGGAAATAATCATAGACTCACAGGAAGTTGCAAAAGTAGTACATAGAGTCCCATGAACCCTTCACCCCCTCACCCCCGCTTCCTTCAGTGGTGACATAACTGCAGGAAATTGACAGTATAGCACTGTTAACCAAACTATGGGCCTCAATGGGTTTTAACCAGCACGTGTGTGTGTGTGTGTGTGTGTGTGTGTGTGTGTAGTTCTATGCAGTTTTATCCCATGCATAAATTCATATAACCATTCCCACAATCAAGATACAGACTTGTTCTATAGAATGTCTTTGTCAGACTTTTCAGAGACTGATAACAATAGTTGGTGGCCCTCAGGGAGGGCAAATGAGCAGCTGAGTGATAGGATGGGAAGGAGACATTCCTTTTCCCTGTCACATTAAAATAAACAATTTGGGATGTCTGTGAGATATTCAAGTGGTAATGTCAAACAGGCCTAGGATCAGCCTGGGGATGGACAGGAGAGTTGTCATGGGGTCCTACATGAGGGCATTTGACATCTGGGCATGGCGGGAGGACCTTTAGGGGAGAGTATGGCTGGGGGAGATCTCAAGAGTGAGTCTTCAGGGCTCTCAAGGTGAGAGGTCTGTGGAGATGGAGCCTCAGTGTGCAGAAGACAGTAGCCTGTGAGGTGGGGACACACCTAGCCAGGGCTGTTAGGTGGAAGTTGAAGGGAGGGGCTCCTAGGAGGGGGTGCTGCTGAGGTTGAGTAAGAGAAGAGACTGTTGGGTTTACTTTGTAAAAATTGAGGCCAGATTTTAACAAGATCCAAAAATAAGATGGTACATTTTTAAATATCTTTTTCTTTATTTAAAAAAAGGAATACGGGGCTGGACAAGGGTGCTTATACCTGTAATCCAAGTGCTCACACCTATAATGCCTGTGCTTTTTAATCCTGCAGGGATTAAAACAATTAGCTGGGCTGGGCGTGGTGGCTCACACTTGTAATCCTAGCACTTTGGGAGGCTGAGGTGGGAGAATTGCCTGAGGTCAGAAGTTTGAGACCAGTCTGGCCAAACATGGTAGAACCCCATCTCTACTAAAAATACAAAAAAAATAGCCAAGTGAGGTGGCATGCACCTGTTAATTCCAGCTACTTGGGAGGCTGAAGCAGCGGAATTGCTTGAACCAGGGAGGTGCAGGCTGCAGTGATCCGAGATCCGTGCCACTGCACTCCAGCCTGGGTGACAGAGCAAGACTCCATCTCAAAAAAAAAAAAAAAAAAAGCTAGGCATGTTGGCACACCTGTAGTCCCAGCTACTCAGGAAACTGATTGGGGAGGATGGCTTGAGAACAGAAGTTCAATGTTGCAATAAGCTGTTATGGCACCGCTCTACTCCAGCCTGGATGACAGAGTAAGACCTTATCTCAAAAAAAACAAAAAACCTAAAACACAAAGTGGTGTGTGTGTGTGTGTGTGTGGTTATTTCACAGGTAAAACTAATCAATGGTGAGGGAAAAAAATTAGAGTAGTGGTTTGGTGAAGGGGCCTGAGGGAACTTTCTGGGGTGACAGTTAATGGTCTATATCTTTTCTTTTTTAAGAGACAAGATCTCATTCTGTTGCCTAGGTTGGAGTGTAGTGGCGTGATCAGCACTTCACCGAAGCCTCCAACTTCTGGGCTTAATTGATCCTCTTGCCTTAGCCTCTTGAGTAGCTCGGACCACAGGCACTTATTTTATTTTTGTAGAGATGGGGTCTCTCCATCTTGCTTAGGCTGGTCTAACTCCTGGGCTCACGTGATCCTCCTGCCTTGGCCTTCCAAAGTGCTGGTCTGTATCCTGATAGGGCTCTGGGTCACATGAGTTTGTCAAAACTGACATTAAGATTTGTGCATTTTACCTTAAAAAACAAAACTATAAACAAATACTGATCTCGAATGATGTGTGTGCTGAGATGTTTAGCTGTCTGCAGCTCACTTTGGAATTTATTAAAAACAGTAAGATGGTCTTATGGATGAACAGAAGGGTGAGCAGGTGGATAAAGATGGGCAGAGGTGTTCTCACAAAACATTAATTGTAGGTTTGGCCTATGATATTCACTGTAAATTTTTTTTTTTTAACTTTACTGTGCATTTGAGAACTTCTAAAATAAAAGTTTTTGGGGACACTTTAAAAACTACTGAACATGAAATACTCTGTCATATTATTTTTAAATATTGCCTGATATGATCCTAGATCTTTAAACATATAAAAGGGTGTATTTTGTGCATTAAAAACGTCTACATCCATTTCCTTTTAATCACTTACTTGTGGTGTCAGCTCTTGGCCGCACACCTTTTATGTACAAGATTAAGGTTCAAGATTTTCTGACACTTTCTGGGGAAATAGCTCTAAGGCTATAAACTTGGTGGATTATCATTACCCAGGCATCCATTCTTAGTCAGCAGATTAACTTTTTGAGTCAACCTCAACTAATTCCCTATCGTGGCTAGACAGAGGCTGAGAGAAAGGTCCATCATTCACTGAATAGTGTGGCCATCGTCCTGGTTTCAGGCATCCTTTTCTTTTGTTCCCTCCCTCTGGCCTGACTGCTCTGGCTCCCTGAATACTACTCTGGGTTCCTCTGAGCTCTTAAGTTTGAACCAAGTAAATTGCCCTGTTTACTTATCTCTCCAAGAGAAGGCTCAGAGGATACATAAACTTTAACAAATTTGTTTAATTTTTGTACAGAGGTAATTCATATATGTGGCTCCAAATACAATTTTGAACGTGTAGATTGAAGAGTATTGTCCTACCCCTGTTCCAGCCCTCAGTCTTCTGTTACTGCTGCAGTCTCCCATGATTCCATCTGGAGCTATTTGTGTCTATAGAGCATATGTGAATATATATACCTGCCTGCCACTTCAAAACAGAACAAAACAAACCAGTCTCATATCATGGACACTTTGTGCCTCATCTTTTTTTTTTTTTTTTCCCTAGAATTCAGCCATTTCCTTTTTGATAAGACATTGGGTTAATTTTTTAAAAATTACTGTTTTCAAGACAGGGTCTCAGTCTGTCACCCAGGCTAGAGTACAGTGGTGCAAAGGTGTAGGCTCACTACAGCCTTGACCTCCTGGGTTCAAGCCATCCTCCTACCTCCATCTCCTGAGTAGCTGCGACTAGGTGCATACCACCAAACCCAGCTGCTTTATTTTTCTTTTTATTTTTTTGAGACAGTGTCTCACTCTGTCACCTAGGCTGGAGTGCACTGGCATGACTACAGCTCACTGCAACCTCCACCTCACAGGCTCAATCAATCCTCCCACCTCAGCCTCCTGAGTAGCTGGTACTGTAGGTAAATGTCATCATGCCTGGCTAATCTTTGTATTTTTTATTTGTTTTGACACGGAGTTTCACTGTTGTTGGCCAGGCTGTAGTGCAATGGCATGATCTCGGCTCACTGCAATCTCTGCCTCCTGGGTTCAAGTGATTGCCCTGCCTCAGCCTTTTGAGTAGCTAGAATTACAGGCCCCTGCCACCAACCCTGGCTAATTTTTTGTATTTTTAATAGAGACGCAGTTTTACCATCTTGGCCTGGCTGGTCTTGAACTTCTGACCTCAGGTGATCCACATGTTTCAGCCTCCCAAAGTGCTGGGATTACAGGCATGAGCCACCGTACCCAGCCTGTATTTTTTATTTTTTGTTGAAGCGGGGTTTTATCATGTTGCCCAGGCTTTCTTTTAACTTTTTTTTTTTTTTTTTTTGATATGGAGTTTTGCTCTTGTTGCGCAGGCTGGATTGTGATGGTGTGATCTCAGCTCACCACAACCTCCTCCTCCAGGGTTTAAGTGATTGTCCTGTCTTAGTCTCCCGAGTAGCTGGGATTACAGGCATGCGCAACCACACCCAGTTTATTTTGTATTTTTACTAGAGATGGAGTTTCTCTACGCTGGTCAGGTGATCCACTTTGGCCTCCCAAAGTGCTGGGATTACAGGCATGAGCCACAGTGCCTGTCCTCTTTTAAAATTTTTTTGTTGAGATGGGAGTCTCCCTATATTGCCCAGGTTAGTCTTGAACTCCTAGGCTCAAGTGATCCTCCTGCCTTGACCTCCCAAAGTACTGAGATTACAGGTCTGAGCTACCATGCCTGGCCTGAGTTAATTTTTAAAATCTTTTTCTTTTATAAATAGTGCTTCCTTAAATTACTTTATACATACAAATATAAATTTAAAAAAAGAAAACACTTCTATTAAGGACATGGACTGACATGTCCAAGTAGATAGAAGTGTGGAATGAGCTTCCATGCCCACTCATCCAGCTGGAACCGTGATCCTTATTTTTGGCATTCTCGTTTTGTTTCTACCCAGCTACTCCCCTTTTGGCTAAACCATTTTAAAAGCACATTCCAGAAACTGCTGTTTTACTCTAGAATGGTGGACTTCTTAAACTTATTATTTAAGTATACAAAGTACAGAGCATAGTATTGAAGATTCCCGTGTACTCTGACCCCTCCCCCGGTTAGCAGTGGTCTCCTCTTTCCTCCCCACCTCACACCACCCTCCCCTTTTTTGTTGTTGCTGGAATATTTTGAAGCAGGTCTGCTACATCATATCCTTACCCATGTAAACACTTCAGTAAAGTACCAACTTTAGAGCACAAAAATAGTGAGAACTGATGGTGTTTAAAAGAAGAAAGGCATTTGGGACATTCCAGCCGCCGTTTCAGGCTTATACTTTGAAAAAATTAGATTTAAACATAAAACTGCAAATGGCAAGCAATAATGAAACTAAAAAATTTCAGCAATGTACTTAAAACACGAGTGGAATTTCCCTTCCTGTCACCTAGGTCCAAATACATGGTTTATGTGATAAGATGTTGTCTTAACTTTAGGTCTTAGTTGTTCTCAGCTGGGGCTGATTGTGCTTTCCCCACTGTGACATGTCACCATATCTGGAGACATTTTTGATTGTGAGTGGGGTTGGGATAAGGAGCTACAGGCATATTGGGCAGAGGCAGAAATACTGCTAACATTCTGCAATTGCAAGACAAGGAATTAGCTAGCCCAGAATGCCAAGCCTGAGAAACTCTGGTTTGGGCCACTGGGAGAAGATGTTTTATCACAGATCTCTTCTCTGTGGCTCTCCTTGAACTTGGGGAACTGCTCAGTGAACGGTAATCAGTGGAGGTGGGGCCCAAAAGAATGATACATGTTGACATTTGCAAGTGTTATTTTGAAGATAACATTTTAATATCCAGAAAATTCCAATAGAAGTAACTTTATTTATATCATCATTTTATCTGTTGTATCAACAATAATTATTTTGGAAATTTGTGTGACAAAATATGTATGAGGTTTACAGACTTGGCTTACAAGGAAGCCAGACTCCTTCTGAGGCAAGCGGATGTGAAACCTTTTATTTCTGGAGAACTTCCAGAAGCAAAACAAGGCTGGAACTGTTCTAGGGACAGCTTATGCATGCGTGTAGACAGGGAAGAAACAAAACCTGAAGCCAAAGGAGGGAGGAGGAAAGGAAAGAGAGACATGACTTCTTCCTGGAGACTGCTTAGCATGGGTATATGAAGTCTGTATAGCTGTTCAGCCTTAAAGCATGTAAAAAACCATATGCTTATGGTGTGCCGGACCACAGGGGACCCACGAAGATGACTCCTGTATGGCCCCAGCTGTCCAGGACCCTGGAGTCAAGTCAGAGATGGATGTGTCCACAACTCATTGTGTGACAAGGTGTGGATTTATGGGTGTTTTGATTAGAGTCCAGGGGCCCTGGTACCTTATGTGCTTTTGTGCCTTGTTTCTTTCCAGATTGCTCATTTAGAAAGTGGATGTGTGGGATAACATGTCCAGTGTGTCCGAGGAGAGAAGAAAAAGGCAGCAGAACATTAAGGAAGGACTGCAGTTCATACAGTAAGAGCTTCAGAGTTCTTGTGTTCTTGCCATATTGTAATTCTTTGATGTGGACGTATGTTTTGTGGCGCATAAGAACTCTTTAGTCATGTTTAATAGGTCCAGTTAATTTGGGTTAGAAACTCCGTATTCTAGCCATATTTTTCCTTTCAGCCATTTGGGCATTCTTGCATTCAGAGGCAAGTCTTAACTGTTGCTGGCTTTTAGGGCTATGATTGTTAGTCCCCCCCAAAATGGTAGACTGAGGAATTTGAATTTGTTCTCATAAGAACAGTGCTGCTGAGTCCAAAGTGACAGAAAATGAACATCTGGCAGCACAGAGGGCTTCTGTGATCAGACGTGTCTGTTCAGAAGTTCAGTGTTTAACTGGACTTCTTGAAGCATGTCAGTGATGAGACAGCTGTGGTTTGGATGGACATGTCTGGGCAGAAGGGCCTCTTTGTTCCTTCTTAGGAAGGAGACATTCTCTCTATACTGCAGTAAATTGGATCAAATATTGTTAGTGGTTCTGTACTATTTTTAACCTTTTTTTGGCATTTGAAGAATTGGAGATTTTAAAAATAGAAGTAGATTGAAAGTAAAGTGTTGTACTTAAAACATACCAAGTAATAGTTTAGTTTTTTTTTTTTTCTTAACTGTGGTCATCTGTGAATAATGGTATTAAAGGAAGAGGAAGTCTTTGAAATGTGCCTTGAATCACTGGCAAGTTAATGGAACCACAGATTTACAATGACTTCTGGCTGAACAAGTCCTGATAAGGAGCTTGATAATTACAGTTAATTTGTTTCTTCTTCTTAGGTCGCCCCTGTCATATCCAGGAACACAGGAGCAATATGCGGTAATGACTCTGGGAAGGTCTGCTTGAAAGCTCTGCAAGTGGCTTGTGAACTGTAATCTGTAGCAGGGGTTGGTAAATGATGGCCTCGTGGGCACAATCTGGCCTGCTGTCCTTTTTTTTTATTTCAAATAAAGCTTTATTGGAACATAGCCACACTCATTTGTTTGTGTATTATCTGTGGCTGCTTTTGCAACATATGGTAGTTTTGACAGAGACCATATGGCTCATGGAGCCTAAAATATGTACTGTCTGGGCATTTGCAGAAAAAGTTTGCCAACCCCTTATATATAGGACTTTTTTTTTTTTTTTTTTGGCATACTTGCACAGTTGTCCTGTATTTTCTTTCCTTTATTAGTGTAGTTTTGAATTAATTTATCTTTTGAGCTCCTTGAAAATTGCTTTTACCTCTCATGTCATGAAAGTATGTGGGACAGAATTTATTGAGAAAGAGTGTGTGCAGCATCTTTTTCTGTTAGGAGACAGCAGCAAAGCGGGACTGCATACCGAGAGGAAAGAATAGTGATCTGCTAGTTAAGAGCAGGGAGAAAGCCCAGTTCATTGGGTCTTTGAGTGGAGACTCTTGTCTCTGCTAACTATTTGTTCACCCGTATTTTGTTTTGTTTTTTTCTCTGAGGGTTTTGAGGCTTCTAAATGTCACCTTCTCACTGCTTCTCTTCCTCCTCCCCTTTTCTTCTCTCTTGTTCCTTCCCTCTCTACAAACAGATTTAGAATAAAAAAGGATTAGAGCCAGAAATAAACTGTAACAGTTGTTTCATTTTGCACTTGTGGAACTGGGGTCTAAAGATGTTAAGTGGCACGTCACGAGTCACATTGATTGTTAATAGTTGATCTGTCCAGAATTAAAAAATAATTTAATCAGCTTAGACAGGAATTCATAAAATGAGGCAAAACAAGTTGAATATTTATGTGATCTTGTGATGAAAAGGAGCTTTTAAAATACTCAAGTATGGGTGGGTGTGGTGGCTCACACCTGTAATCCCAGCACTTTCGGAGGCTGAAGAGGGTGGATCTCTTGAGGCCAAGAGTTTCAGACCAGCCTGGGAAACATGGCAAAACCTTGTCTCTACTAAAGACACACACACACACACACACACACACACACACACGTGTACATATGTACACACACTACCGAGTATGTGTGGGTGTTGAAAGTAAACCACTAGAAACAGCTGTTTTAGCTGAGTGTGGTGGTGGGTACCTGTAATCCTAGCTGCTGGAAAGGCTGAGGTACAAGAATCCCCTGAACCCAGGAGGTGAAGTTGCAGTGAGCTAAGATCGTGCCACTGCACTCCAGTCTGGGTGCCAGAGTGAGACTCTGTCTCAAAAAACAAAACAGAACTAAACTAAAGCATGCTAGAAATCATGAAGGAAAATGACCGATTTTTGTACATGCCAAAAGAATGTGTATACTTACTCGATAAGAAAAAAGTTTAACATCCCCTCCTGGGAAATCAGTAAATGACCTGAGCAGTTGACAGAAAAAGAACCACGGCCCAGCGCAGTGGCTCACACCTGTAATCCCAGCACTTGGGGAGGCCGAGGCAGGCGGATCACAAGGTCAGGAGATTGAGACTATCCTGGCTAACATGGTGAAACCCCGCCTCTACTAAAAATACAAAAAATTAGCTGGGTATGGTGGTGCGTGCCTGTAATCCCAGCTACTCTGGAGGCTGAGGCAGGAGAATTTCTTGAATTTGGGAGGCAGAGGTTGCAGTGAGCAAAGATCGTGACACTGTACTCCAACCTGGGTGACAGAGACAGACTTGATATTAAAAAAAAAAAAAAAAATACAGGGGGTCCATAAAAATGTGGAAAAGCTCGACTTCACTGGTAAAGACACACAAATACAAAAGGATACCATTAACAACAAAAAACCCAAAAAACACAAAAGGATAGCATTTTCCACCTAGAAATTGGTAGGTATTTTACACACGTACACATACCCTACCTGGTGTGTGTGGGTGCTGTAAGGTAAAGCACTAGAAACATTTTTATCATGGCCTTTTTGGAAGGCAATTTGGAAATACTGTTCAGAAGCCTTAAACTATTCATTCTCTTTGGCTTGGGGCCTCCACTTGGTTTTTCTAGTAGGCACAGAATTGGAGATATGAACAAATATTTATAAGCTACTTTTGCTGCATTTTTCTTTTCTTTTCTTTTTTTTGAAATGGAGTCTTGCTCTGTCACCCAGGCTGGAGTGCAGTGGCGTGATCTTGGCTCACTGCAATCTCCACCTCCTGATTAAAGCAATTCCCTGCCTCAGCTTCCTGAGTAGCTGGGATTACAGGCACACACCATGACGCCTGGCTAATTTTTATATTTTTAGTAGAGACAGGGTTTCAGCATCTTGGCCAGGCTGGTCTTGACAGACCTTGTGATACATTTTTCTTAATAATGAGAAACTGAATTTCCCCTTGAAAAAGCCAGCAAGATAGAATCTCTAGCTGAGATAGCAGTGACTTGGGCTGCATCTCACAATTTCTTAGAGCAATGCTGCTGTACTATCAGATTGCTTCTTCTCAAGTTTTGGGTATAAAAATTAAAATTTAATTATACCATATCTTGTTTAATAAAAGGTTTAAAGTGGTAACTTTCTTTTTTTAGGTATATTTGCATGCTCTCGTGAGAAATCTTTTTAATGAAGGAAATGACGTTTATCGGGAACGTGATTGGAACAACTCGATAAGCCAATACACAGAAGCTTTGAATATAGCTGATTATGCAAAGTCTGAAGAAATTTTAATCCCCAAAGAAATAATTGAAAAACTATATATAAATCGTATTGCCTGCTATTCTAATATGGTGAGTTGTAAGTTTTAAAATGTTTCTAGAGTGAAAAATTTTTTTTCGATGACTTAGTACATTAATAAAAGTCAGTTTCTTAAGTTTTTAAGAAAGTCATATTACCTGCTTTTAGAGTGGCCTGAGGCTTTAAAAATTAGCTTTGGACAAAAGGTTAGTTTTTTAAGAAATAATTTATTCCTTAGTTACTGGTTCTTGACAATTCCCATTTGAGTATGGCTTTTTTTTTGAGACGGAGTTTCGTTCTTGTTACCCAGGCTGGAGTGCAATGGTGTAATCTCGGCTCACCGCAACCTCCGCCTCCTGGGTTCAGGCAATTCTCCTGCCTCAGCCTCCTGAGTAGCTGGGATTACAGGCACGCGCCACCATACCCAGCTAATTTTTTGTATTTTTAGTAGAGACGGGGCTTCACCATGTTGACCAGGATGGTCTCGATCTCTTGACCTCATGATCCACCCGCCTCGGCCTCCCAAAGTGCTGGGATTACAGGCTTGAGCCACCGCACCCGGCCGAATATGGCTTTTGACGGTGTGTCTGCTTATAAAAAAGTCATCCTGGGAAGATACAGGCCTTCACAGATCAGTGTCTGTCAGGTATCCGTGTTTGTAGTTAACGTCTTAGTCAAGGTCCAGTTAGTCCTCTTACAAGTATTTTTTTTTTATCGAGAAGTAGTAATTGGTCTTCAAAGGAATTAACACTAGGGGTTTACATTTTTAAGCTTAAAAAGCTTTCGAAGTGTTTTTGTTTTCTGTTTTTCTTTTTAATTTTTGAGATGGAGTCTCACTCTGTCACCCAGGCTGGAATACAGTGGCACAGTCTCAGCTCACTGCATCCTCTGCCTCCCAGGTTAGAGTGATTTTTCTGCTTAGCCTCCCAAGTAGCTGAGATTACAGGGGCCCACCACCACACCTGGCTAATTTTTGTATTTTTAGTTTCACCATGTTGTCCAGGCTGGTTTTGAACTCCTAACCTCAGTTGATCCACCCACCTTGGCCTCCCAAAGTGCTGGAACTACAGCCATGAGCGACCGTGTCCTTTCTGAAATGCTTTTAATTTTCACTATGGGCACTCAGTAAAATTTGACCATGAATTTAAGAAAAATATTCATGTTGTCACCCAGCTTTTTGTTAAGAACATTCACTGATTATTTGTTTTCGGTAATATATTCCTTATCAGTTAGCTGTTTGGGAGTTACCTTTCTGTTTGACCTCTTAATGTACTCCAGGAAAGGGTAACTATAGAGGAGAGAATAGGAGAGGGACACGTGGGGACATCAGTTAGGTCTGGAAAGCTTTATTTCTTGAAGTTCTGTGGACGTTCTGGCCAAATATTAGCATTTGTCTGACCTGGGTGGTGGGTACATGGGTATTCATGACATTCTTTCTACTTTTGTGTATTTGAAATTTTCTTAAAATAATTAAAAAAATTAAAAGTAATACTGCTAACTTGGAGTTTAGAGGGAGGGTAATAGGATGGGGTATTAATTTGTTTTCATTATAGGAAGGCCTTAGTGCAAGAAAATAAATTGTTTGATTGCTGACTTTATTATTTGGTCTTACACCCCAGGGTTGCCATGATAAAGTTTTGGAAGACTGCAATATAGTCCTCAGTTTAAATGCCAGTAACTGCAAAGCCCTGTATCGGAAATCTAAGGCTTTAAGTGATTTAGGAAGATACAGAAAGGCTTATGATGCTGTAGCAAAGTGCTCCTTAGCAGTGCCTCAGGTATGGAATTTATAGTTTATTTGTTTATATCATAACCATTTACATAATAAGAAATGGCATTCAAAGAGTTAAATTTTCCAGGCATCCATCAGCCTGCTTCAGTTGGGTATAATTGCTAATGAAGCAGGTCTCTTGGCAGGAAAGGTCACTGATTTGCCTATTCTTCTTCACAGTTAGTAAATATAACCCTTCATTAATTATACATACTTATTTTTTCAGGATGAGCATGTAATAAAACTAACTCAAGAACTAGCTCAGAAATTGGGATTTAAAATAAGAAAAGCATATGTCAGAGCTGAGGTAAGCTGGAGTTCTCTCCATAAGGTGTTTTCATTTTGTTTTGTAACTTGGAGTCAGTTCTGTTTCTAAATTAGTGTCTTTATTTATTTCAGCTCTCATTAAAATCAGTTCCTGGGGATGGTGCTACCAAGGTAAAGTTATTTTTTTCTGTAAAAATTATAATTGTTTTTAAAGGGAACGATGGGAACAATTCTGCTTTTGGTATTTTTGATGTGTGTTTATTTTTGGAACCTTTTTATTTCTTAAACACGTAATTGGCCGTAGCTTCCTGCCATTACATTTATTTATTTGTTTGAGGTAGGGTTTTGCTCTGTTGCCCAGGCTGGAGTGCAGTGGCATGATCTTGACTAGCTGTAACCTCCATCTCCTGGGCTCAAGTGATCCTCCCACCTCAGCCACCCGAGTAGCTGGGACTGCAGGCACATAACACCATGCCTGGTGAATTTTTGTATTTTTTGTTGAGATGGGGTTTCACCATGTTACTCAAGCTGGCCTCGATCTCCTGAGCTCAAATGTTCCTCCTGCCTTGGCTTCCCGAAGTTCTGGGGTTACAGGCATCAGCCACCTCTTCTGGCTACTTCCAGTCACTTTACAAAAGAAAACCTACAACTCAAGTAATATATTTTAGCTGCAACCAGCATTTCCTGAATGCTGCAGAAGAGCGCTTTACAGGATGTTACTAGATGCTAGATTTCAGTGCAGAAGAGTGGTTCAGGGCCAAATACTAGTTTGGGGAGTCATTTGTGATAAAATAACAAAGGTTTTTGTGTTTGTTCTTTTTTTTAAAATTTTAAAGTAAATTGTCTTGGGACTATTAGGATGCTAATAGCTATTGTGAGTTGGGCAGTGAATGGTGGCCAGATTAGTGCCTGGTATTCTGCTGAACAGCCTTTGAGAAATTGCTGGTCCACAAGAAATAAGTGGCAGCACTGCTAGAGCAGCACCTCATCTAACACCACGTGTGTGAAGGTTTGCGTGTTCCATTCATTTCTTGGATCTTAATTGGGAGTTAAATTTCTGTGGAAAGCTGCATTGCTCTCTTAGGGTGAGTTTTTTTCTTTCTTTCTTTCCTTTTTTTTTTTTGGAGACAGAGTGTTGCTCTGTCACCCAGACTGGAATGCAGTGGCATGATCTTGAGTCACTGCAACCTTCGCCTCCTTGGTTCCAGCAATTCTCCTGCCTTAGCTTTTTAATAGCTGGGATTACAGGCGCTGGCAGCGTGCCTGGCTAATTTTTGTATTTTTAGTAGAGACGGGCTTTCACCTTGTTGGCCAGGCTGGTCTCGAACTCCTGACCTGGTGCTCCACCCTCCTTGGCCTCCCAAAGTGCTGGGATTACAGGTGTGAGCCACTGCGCCCAGCCTAGGGTGAGTTTTACCAATTGTTTTATGGTTTAGAATCCTGAAAGTATTATGACCCAGTGTTTGGTTTAATTTCTAGGCTTTGAACTACTCTGTGGAAGATATCGAGCCAGGTATGTTTTCACATATCATCTTAACAGTTGGAATGGTGCCAGCTTTGTACCTGATATCTTTGTATGTGATGTATTGTTGTCAAATAAAATCGATGTGTGATTATATTCATATGAATACATAATATTAAAGTGAATGATTTCCAGCACTCCCTTTGTGCCTTTGGTTGTGCCAGCAAGTGACTGGTAAGTGTTGGATGTTAGTAAGCAATCACTGACACTCACTGTAGCCTTGCACTGTCTGGCAGCTGTGCCCAAAAAGAGGCGCAGGCATTTTATGAAAGAAGGATAAGTTTTCTCAAGTGACTTGTGTCTATTTGAAAATACTTTACCATCAATTTTATTATTTTTATAATTGCCTTCATATTTTCATCTTCATATCTCTATTATTGGGGATTAATGCTATTATGTTGTAATTACAATGAAAGTGACTGAGTACATTTCCATCTGTGTCACAGATTTATTAACTCCAAGGCAAGAAGCAGTTCCTGTCGTCTCTTTACCTGCATCCAGTTTTTCTCATGAAGTTGGAAGTGAGCTGGCCTCAGTTCCCGTGATGCCCTTAACTTCTGTTTTGCCACTGCAAGTGGAAGGGAGTGCTCTGCCATCTTCTGCAGTGCTGGCAAATGGAGGAAAGATGCCCTTCACTATGCCGGAAGCTTTTCTAGATGATGGAGATATGGTTCTTGGAGATGAACTAGATGACCTCCTTGATTCTGCACCTGAAACTAATGAAACTGTTATGGTAAGTTTCAATGTTGCTCAAGTTTTTTCCGAAGACAGTCAATTTTTTTTAAATTGTAATATAACTTGATAGACTTTTTCAGAGTGCTTATAGGCTAAATTTGTTTTTTGTTTTTTTTTCCCTTGAGAGTTTTTTTTTGTTCTTCTCTAATGGAACTGGTTAATTTGATCATTTTGAAATAAAAAAGAAACAATGCTATCTAGTAATTAGCCAACTGTTTTTCAGTTCATATTGGGATCACATATTATGCAAAGAGGAAATATAACATTCTGATAAAAAATAGACATTTGATATTTAAGAAAACATGAGTTTTATAGATTAAGGACTTCTTAAAGATAATTGTCTAGTAACCACATACTTGAAAACAGCGTTCAGCCCACTATAGCCCACAGGCTAAATCTGGCCTACTACCTGTTTTTATAGGGCTTGCAAACTAAGAATATTTTTTACAATTCTTAAATGGTTGGGAGAAGAACAAAAAAAGAGAACAATATTTTTTGACGTGAAAATTATATGAGACTAGTCTGGGTAACCATAGCAAGGCCCCATCTCTACAAAAATTAGAAACAGCCTGGGCCGGTGGTACGTGCCTGTGGTCCCAGCTACTTGGAAGGCAGAGCGGGGAGGATCACTTGTGCCCAGGAGGTTGAGGCTGCAGTGAGCCCTGGGCTCACTGAGCAAGACCCTGTCTCAATCAGTACAAATAGGACATTCCAATTTCAGGGTCCTTAAGTAAAATTGTACTGGAAAATGTGACTATTCATTTTATGTGCTGTCTGTGGTTGCTTCTGCATTGTAACGGCATAGCTGAGTCCTTGAAACAGAGACCATGGGGCCTAACGAGCATAAAATACTTAGTATCTATCCCTTTATACTTTGGGCAGGGTCCTTCCACTGGAAGCCTGGTAATTAAGTGATTCTGTGTCTACCGGAGCAGAGCGTGCACTTGGGATCATAAAATGAGCATCTCCTGGCTACGCCCCTCGGGTGGAAGGGGCCAGATGCTGCAGCTGCTCTTCCATTTCTGTTCCTAAATTTCATTGTTGATTTTTTTCCCCCTTCCAATCAGGGATCTTAATTACTTTCAAAATATTTTCAAAAAATATATATTTTAAAAATCAAAAAAAAGAAATAAAGAAAGACTCTTTTGCCAGGTGCAATGGCTCACACCTGTAATCACAGCAATTTGGGAGGCTGAAGCAGGTGGATCACTTGAGGCCAGGAGTTCCAGACCGGCCTGGCCAACATGGCAAAACCCTACCTCTACCAAAAATTACAAAAATCAGCTGCACGTAGTGGCACACATCTATAATCCCAGCTACTTGGGTGGCTGAGGCAGGAGAATCACTCGAGCCTAGGAGGTGGAGGTTGCAGTGAGCCAAGATCATGCCACTGCACTCTAGCATGGGCAACAGAGCAGCACTCTGTCTCAGAAAAACAGAAACAAAAAAGACTTTTCTGTCCCCTGCCATAAAGCATGATAAATTAGTAGTAGCAGTGGTAGTATGATGATGATGAGAGGGAGAAATTCTGAGTTGGTTTCCAGGGCTGGTGAAATGTATGATGTCCATGTGTGAAAGGTTGACAGAGCTGGATTTGATTTTTACCAGCTCTGTGATATTGGGCAAGTTACTTCACTGTAGTACATCATTTTCCTCATCTGTGTGATTGTGATCACAGTAGGATTTATCTGAGAGAGCTATTGTAAGAACCAAGTAGATAGCATATGATACCATAATGTAAGGTACGTGGAAGCTCTCAGTGAGTCGCAGCTTTCATGGGGTCTGGGGAAGTTAGAGTTGTGTGTTCTTGTCCAGTTGTAAGGTCACACCTCTAGAGAGGTTGTCCCAGTCCTCATGTGCTTCTCTAGCTCCCTTCTCTGGATCACCTAACCTCTCACTGCACCACACATATACCCACAATTCCTCTTTAGTGATGGAGATTCTTATGAGCCTTATAGTCAGGTAAGGGTAGGGAGGCATAAAGAAGTTTTGCAGATGAAACATGAATGTAACATTTGGATTAAAATGTTAGACATCTGTCTGGGTGCGGTGGCTCATGCCTGTAATCCCAGCACTTTGGGAGGCCTAGGTGGTGGAGGCCTGGAGGTCAGGAGTTTGAGACCAGCCTGACCAACATGGTGAAAACCCCATGCCTACTAAAAATACAAAAATTAGCCGGGCTTGGTGGCGCGTGCCTGTAGTCCCAGCTACTCAGGAGGCTGAGGCAAGAGAATTGCTTGAACTCCGGAGGCAGAGGTTGCAGTTAGCCAAGATTGTGCCACTGCACTCCAACCTGGGTGACAGAGTGAGACTCCATCTCAAAAAAAAAATAAAGTTATACATCCCACCTCGATTGTTTTTAAAAATTATTCTTGAAAAGAAACAAGCTCTGTAACTAAAATTATTTTAAATGAATCTTGATTCTGATTTAAACTTTGTTTTATTGTTGTTGTTGTTGTTGTTGTTGTTGTTGTTAGATTGTTTGGAGACAGAGTCTTGCTCTGTTGCCCAGGCTGGAGTGCAATGGTGCAATCTTGGCTCATTGCAACCTCCGCCTCCCCAGTTCATGCAATTCTCCTGCCTCAGCCTCCTGAGTAGCTGGGACTACAGGCACATACCGCGATGCCTGGCTAATATTTTGTATTTTAGTAGAGACAGGGTTTCACCGTGTTGCCCAGGCTGGTCTTGAACTCCCGAGGTCAGGTAGTCTGCCGCCTTGGACTCCCAAAGTGCTAGGTGGCATGAGCCACCATGCCTAGTCTAAACTTTGTTATGTAACATGATTGCCCAGTGTAGTAATACTTTTATTTGCCATTGTTGAAACTAGTTCAGCCAAACCTGTGACAGCTTCATGAATTTTAATCACATCTTTTTTCTTCTGCAGCCATCATCGTTAGTCCGAGGACCCCTTCAGACAGCCAGTGTCTCTCCTAGCATGCCCTTTTCGGCATCTCTGTTAGGAACCTTACCCATTGGTGCGAGGTATGCTCCTCCACCCTCCTTCTCAGAATTGTATCCATCTTTGACTTCATCCTTAGAAGATTTTTGTTCTTCTTTAAATTCATTTTCAATGAGTGAATCAAAACGAGGTAAGAATCTAATCTAAATTGTAAACAATTGCAGTTAATTTTCTAAAATGAAATGTTTATTTGGTAATCATTTAACTGATTCTAGGTAGTAGACATTTGAATTATTTTCACAGTAGCTAAAAGTATAAAGACTAAGCCTTCAGTTTTGAATTCACCTCGACTTAGCTGTGCCATTCTGGAGACCCAGGAACAAAGGCATGAGAAGAGAAATGTGTGTGGCACTGGTGTTTCTGTAGGATAGTTTGTTAAGCTGGGAGTTTATTGTTTTGGGGTGAAATGACTATTAATGTATTCTCCCATAAAGGTGTATCTCATCTTAAAGGGTGTTAGAGACAGGCTATGCTATTTAATTCTGAACTAGACAAACACTAATTTAATCAGTGTTTAGAATGATAGCAGTTAGATGTGTCTATTTTAGGTTTCATCTGTGGAGCTCAGTAAACGGTGGCTGCTGCTTTAACTTCACTTGTGCTGAGTTTGGGGTCTGACCCCTGTTTCTGTCATCCTAGGTTTAACACACATACTTCAGACAATCACCAGAAAAATATTTTTTTGAAGGCATTGTTACATGGCTAAAAGGGCAAAAATCTTACATAATTAACTTAAAGATTTACAACTGAAGAAATGAAAATATATGGGAGACAGATGGCAGAGAGAATAATTGAACAGTAGACTAAGAAGAAGAAAGTAGGCCGGGCGCAGTGGCTCACGCCTGTAATCCCAGCACTTTGGGAGGCAGAGGCAGGAGGATCACTTGAGCTCAGGAGTTTGAGATCAAGCCTGGGAAATGTGGTGAAACCCTGTCTCTACGAAAAATATAAAAATTAACTGGGTGTGGTGGCGTGCACCTGTGATAGTTACTCAGGACGTGGAGGTGGGAGGATTCCTTGAGCCCAGGAGGTTGAGGCGGCAGTGAGCCAAGATCGCGCCACTGCTCTCTAGCATGGGTGACAGGATGAGACCCTGTCTCAAAAAAAAAAAAGAGAAAGTAATTGAAAACTTTAATGTTATGGTCAGTTCCTGCTTCTTTTTTTTTTTTTTTTTTGAGACAGAGTCTCAGTCTGTTGCCCAGGATGGAGTGCAGTGGCAAGATCTTGGCTCACTGCAACCTCCACCTCCTGGGTTCAAGCAATTCTCCTGCCTTAGCTTCCTGAGTAGCTGGGATCACAGGCACCTGCCACCATGCCTGGGTAATTTTTTTGTATTTTCAGTAGACATGGGGTTTAAGCATGTTGGGCAGGCTGATCTCAAACTCCTGACCTCAAGTGATCTGCCCTCCTTGGCCTCCCAAAGTGCTGGGATTATAGGTGTGAGCCACTGCACCTGGCCTCATATTTTCAAAAGGAAAGGCTCTTTTCCCATTTTTAAATATGAAGAATTTTCTTGGTGTTTTTAGCAGTCCCACTTGGTGGGCCCTGCCTTAGCTTATTTCTCTGAATTTAGGTTTTTATTTAAATTTCTTTGTACCCTTGGTTTCTAGAGGAAAGCAGACTCTAGAGCCTTCTTTGGGTGTCAACATTGAGCAAGAAGGTTTCTCGGCACTGGGATGGGAGAATAGCGTGGGAGGCCATAGCCAGTAAGCTACTAAGCCCTGATGTTCTTATTACATGATTAGAATGAAAAGGTCTGTTGAAGTTTTTTTATTATTTTAGATCTGTCCACCTCAACTTCTAGAGAGGGAACACCGCTTAACAACAGTAATTCTTCCCTTTTACTTGTAAGTGCCACTTCCTCTTTTGTAAATACATCTCTTGAATTGAAAATAGTTACTTAAGTAACTGAGTTATTTGAATGAACATGACAGTCTCCCTTGAATTTTGTGTGTGCTGTAGGAAATTGTGTTACAGTAAGACTTCTGGAACGTCTAGTAACAACGGCTCTGTGTTTAAGACTTGATTTGTCATAGCAAAGTAATCAGTATTGCAGGCAGTGTAAGATGCTTTAGCATAGCATAAACAAATCAAGGAAATATAAGATCAGAGCATGTAAAGTGTGTGTACTTTTGCAGAAGAATAATATGGAGGATCAAAAAAGTTGGGGGGGGGTGGATGCCTAGAAACCCAAAGAGAGGAAAATGTAGAAAGAGACAGTTTTTAAGACAGAAGAGCATTAAGGATGGAGTAGTACTGACCTCAGTTTATGAAGACTCTTTTATTTTTCAGATGAATTCAGTTCCTTTCTTCAGTGATAATGCAATATTTGTTGGCTGTTTTTTTTTTTCTTCTTCTTATTTTTCTTGCAGATGAATGGACCAGGTAGTTTGTTTGCTTCTGAAAATTTCCTGGGAATTTCAAATCAGCCTAGAAATGACTTTGGAAACTTTTTTGGAAGTGCAGTTACCAAACCATCTTCATCAGTGACCCCAAGACATCCCCTTGAAGGAACCCATGAATTGAGACAAGCTTGCCAGATCTGTTTTGTAAAATCAGGTCAGAACAAATTAACAAGCAGAGAGTATTAAACTACTTGCTCATAACCTTGAAAGTTCTTAGGAATTTGTAAATACATGTGAACAACATCAGTTACTGTGGTTCTTCCGTCCCTATTTTGAATTCTTCCAAAAAAGTAGCAGTTACTGATTTAGTGCCTTTGGAGTCTAATAGGATAAGCCTCTGCTCTTACTTGATGTAATTTTATTTATGGAATCATGTAGAATAGAATATTTACCTATTTTTGGAAGCTTTTTGAAATTTTAATGAAACTTCTTATGTTCTCAGTATATACTTAAGAAGTTGGTTATTTTCAAATAGAGCAAGAACTAGCAAAAAGCATTATAAGACCAGTATACCATACAGTGTCTATGGAAATTAAATACTTGTTATCTTGTTTCATATCTTTACTCTTAAATCAAGTGACATAAACACAGTTTATTCTGATCTGGAGTCAACTTCATTTTCTTTCTTAGTTTAACAGTGTTCTTGACTTTTATAAGCCATCGAAATTCCTCTCCAGATTATTTCCTTACTAGTTAAGTAAGGGTATTGTTTTGGCAGGAATGGTGTTGAATAGAATATTGTGTTGTCTGATACACCATAAAAGGCAAAAATCACCTTAGTAGCCTATGTACATTTTAGGGATGTGGAAGTGGGATTTCTGTGGGAATTTAATAATTGATGTTCATCTGTTCAAGTCTGCTTATAAATTTACCTGTAATATTTTTTGCGCATATGAGCAATCCTCTTTACATCTTTTTCAGGTCCCAAGTTAATGGATTTCACTTACCATGCTAATATAGATCATAAATGTAAGAAAGATATTTTAATTGGTAGGATAAAGAATGTTGAAGATAAATCATGGAAAAAAATACGTCCAAGACCAACAAAAACAAATTATGAAGGACCATATTACATATGTAAAGGTATATTGTCATTCCTTAATTGGTATACATTACATAAGTGATGAACTACAGTCATGCATAACTTAGTGACAGGGACACATTCTGAGAAATGCAGCATTAGGGGAACATCACACAGTACTTACACAAACCTGGATGGTGTAGCCTGTGACGCACCTGGCCTGTCCATGACATAGTCAGTGGCTCCCCAACTACAGACTTATACAGCATGTTATTGTACTGAATACTGTAGGCAACTGTAACACAATGCTATTTGTGTATCTGAACATAGGAAAAGTACAGTAAAAACACAGTATTAATCTTATGGGACCACCATTATATATGCAGTCTGTAGTTGACTGAAATGTCAGTATGTGGTATAGGACTGTGCCTCCTACATTTATTATAATGTCTAATTAATATGTAATTTATTGCATTATGTTATTAGAACATTATTGACTGTTATAAAAAATGTTTAGAGCTAATAGCAAGTTCCTTGGATGGAGATGTTAATATTTTTTATATTGTTTTTACTGTCCTTTTTAACTTTTTTTTTTCTTTTTTGAGACAGAGTCTCACTCCATTGTCCAGGCTGGAGTGCAGTGGCACAATCTTGGCTCACTGCAACCTCTGCCTTCTGGGTTCAAGTGATTCTCCTGCCTCAGTCTCCTGAGTAGCTGGGAATACAGACGTGCGCCAATATGCCTGGCTAATTTTTGTATTTTAGTAGAGAAAGGGTTTCGCTATGTTGCCTAGGCTGGTTTCAAATTCCTGGCCTCAAGTGAACCGCCTGCCCGCCTTGACTTCCAAAAGTGCTAGGATTACAGGCGTGAGCCACTGCAGTGGCCAAGGTTTTATATTACTTTATTTATTTATTTTTTAATTTTTTGCGACAGAGTCTAACTCTATCTTTCAGGCTGGAGTGCACTGATATGATCTCAGCTCACTGCAACCTCTGCTTCCCAGTTTCGAGCAATTTTTTCATTACTCAGCTACTGAATAGCTGGAATTACAGGCATGTGCCATCATGCCCAGCTGATTTTTGTATTTTGCAGTAGAGATGGGCTTTATCACATTGGTTAGGCTTGTTTTGAAGTCCTCACCTCAGGTGATCTGCCTGCCTCAGCTTCCCAAACTGCTGGTATTACAGGTATTAGCCACTACACCTGGCCTATAACCAGGGTTTAAGCAGAATACTGTCTTCAACCTTAAGTTCTTTCTAAACAGAATCAAAACACTGAGCTAAAGCTTTGAAAAGTAGTTAGGATGCTTTTGAGAGAACTTGGTATTTCATGTGATCAAACAAGTTCATGTGAATGAGCTTCGAATGATTTTCTTTTTCAACTGAGGTGTAGTCCATGAGAGTATCAAGGCTTTTCTCACGGTCCGTAATAAAAACAATTAAGGCTTGTGGTATTTTTTTTTTTTAAGAGTTGATACCATCCATTCCCAGATAATAGTATGTGTATCATTGTTTGAGGCTGTCCACGAATTGTTTTACAAGTTCACATGATGCCCTAAATGTTACTAATATTCATTGGCTTTAAGGAAACAATTACTATCATTTCATTTTTGGTTTGTTTTGAGACTGGGACTTGCTCTGTTGCCCAGGCTGGAGGGTAGTGTGGCAAGATAATTACTCACCATAGCCTCAAACTCCTGGGCTCAAAGGATCCTCCCACCTCAGCCTCCCAAGTAGCTGGGAGTACAGGCCAATTGCCATATTTTCAATGTCTTTCCATTGGCTGTCTTTCTAGATGTTGCTGCTGAGGAGGAATGTCGATATTCAGGCCACTGCACATTTGCTTATTGCCAAGAGGAAATAGATGTATGGACGCTGGAGCGGAAGGGGGCTTTCAGCCGTGAGGCGTTCTTTGGCGGCAATGGAAAGATTAACCTTACTGTATTCAAACTTCTCCAGGAACATCTTGGAGAATTTATATTCCTATGTGAGGTACGTTCTTCCAAAACATATTTTTCCACTGTAAAGTTGTATGTACAAGCCCAGAGGTATTGTCCTGCCATGTGATAAAATATTCATTCAGTAAATGATAGCTACTACCATTACCAAAAAGAATACTAAAACTTCATATTGAGATTTAATTTTGTAATGATACTGAAACTAGGACAATATTCTGGGTGTACAAAATTTATATTTTATATTATGCTTTTTTGATAATCTTTCTCTCTCTATTCCAGAAATGTTTTGATCATAAGCCTAGAATGATAAGTAAAAGAAATAAAGATAATTCTACTGCTTGTTCTCACCCGGTTACAAAGCATGAGTTTGAAGACAATAAGTATGTTGATAGTTTCTAATTTCTGTAATGACAAAATAGATTCTTTTTCTAGATCCATATAAAAACTAGTAGTAGTGTCTGCCCAGGCATTGCCCTTTCCTCATTTGTTGTTGTTTTGAAGAACAATCACGACTATTTAAAAATGTCTTTTGGTAGATTTGGCTGGGAAGTGAATAATATATTATGTAAAACAGAAAAGCATTATTGATGTATAGCTTCTCATGGTATGGATTTAGGTATTTTATGGCTTAAAGTATAAGTACCCCCCACAATTAATTCAACAATTGCATGTAGTGAATTGGTCTTTTTGTTTTGTTTTTTTTTTTGAGACTGAGTCTCGCTCTGTTGCCCAGGCTGAAGTGCAGTGGCCTGATCTCGGATTGCTGCAACCTCCACCTTCCAGGTTCAAGTGATTCTCCTGCCTCAGCCTCTTGAGTAGCTGGGATTACAGGCGCCCACCAGCATGCCTGGCTTTTTTTTTTTTTTTTTTTGGAAACAGAGTCTTGCTCTGTCGCCCAGGCTGAAGTGCAGTGGCATGATCTCAGCTCACTGCAACCTCCACCTCCCGGGTTCAAAGGATTCTCTTGCCTCAGCCTCCAGAGTAGCTAGGATTACAGGCACCTGCTAATTTTTGTATTTTTAGTAGGGACGGGGTTTCACTATGTTGGCGAGGCTGGTCTCAAGTGATCCTCCCTCCTCAGCCTCCCAAAGTGCTGAGATTACAGGTGTGAGCCACTGTGCCTGGCCCTGTTGTTTTTTTTCTGATAAAAATTTAAAATGTGTTGCCAGTGTAGAACTTTATGTATGTATGTATGTATGTATGTATGTATGTATGTATGTATGTATGTGTGTGTATTTGAAAAACCTATGACAGAACAGTGTTAAAATGTCACTGTTTTCATCTTAGGTGCCTTGTCCACATTTTGCGAGAGACAACAGTAAAATACTCCAAAATACGTTCTTTTCATGGTCAGTGTCAGCTTGATTTATGTCGACATGAGGTTCGGTATGGCTGTTTAAGGGAAGATGAGTGCTTTTATGCCCATAGTCTTGTGGAGCTGAAAGTCTGGATTATGCAAAATGAAACAGGTAGGTTTGTGTGTGACTCAGAAGTATGTCTCCTCAAGAGCAGTCAGAGTTTGATGAAACAGTAATTTGGGCCTAGTGTGGTGGCTCATGCCTGTAATCACACTACTTTGGGAAGCTGAGGTGGTTGGTCCCTTGAGGTTAGGAGTTCCAGACCAGCCTGGCCAATATGGCAAAACCCCATCTATACAAAAAATACAAAATTAATTGAGTGTGGTGGCGTGCACCTGTAATCCCAGCTACTGGGGAGGCTGAGGTGTGAGAATTACTTGAACCTGGGAGGCAGAGGTTGCAATAAGCCGAGATCACACCACTGCACTTCAGCCTAAGTGATAAAGTGTCTCAAAAAAAAAAGGGAATTTGGAGACCCACCCTTCTCCATCAACCAGGTGTGGAAAAGCTATTGATTTTGTCCTGAGCCTTAAACTTTTGATTTTTAGAGTTGCCTCTTTTGAGTGTGTTCTCATGTTATTAATTACCGATCCGAGTTGTTACATGCATTTGTAGGGAGGAAAGATTCCTCAGAAGGCACAGAGAGCCATATTTGTGAATATTCCATTTCAAAAAAGAGTGATGTGGTATTCATCTTTGATGATGGATTAGGCTGCGTAAGAATAGTTGGGAAGCTGATGGTTGTCCAAGTCTGGCTGCACCCAGATTGGTGGGCTGTTGTTGTTATACATATAATTTAATGGAAGGATCGTATATTCCCCAGGTATATCACATGATGCTATTGCTCAAGAATCTAAACGATATTGGCAGAATTTGGAAGCAAATGTACCTGGAGCACAGGTATCTTCCTCTTGTGCACTTTCTGCATTTGGTACTTTCTGGAATTGCCTGATAGATGTTGGTTTTTGCTGGGTATATTTAACACAGTCCAGTTATTTTCTTAATGTTTATTCAGTTGAGTCATTCCTATGTGAAAAAATTTTGTATTTTAGTTGATCATCATAAAAAAAATTAGGCATCCCACAATGCCTGCCAAGAGCATAGGACACTGTTTTCGTATTTCGTTTAATTGACCAAACACTTACGGTTTTGGGTTTTATGGATTCTTGGAGTAAGGCAGAGGAGTAGATTATGTTTATAGTTAGCTTTCCACCTGGCATATCTCATTTTTCCATTGCTCTCCCCTAAACCCCCCGATCCAAATGAAATAATTCTAGTCATCAGTATCAAAGATGAGTTTCATCAAATTTGGGGCCAGGTGCAGTAGCTCACGCCTCTAATCTCTGCACTTTCGAAAGCCCTTGTGGACGGATCATGAGGTCAAGAGATTGAGACCATCCTGGCCAACATGGTGAAGCCCTATCTCTACTAAAAATACAAAAATTAGCCGGGTGTGGTGGCGTGCACCTGTAGTCCCAGCTACTCGGGAGGCTGAGGCAGGAGAATCGCTTGAACCTAGGAGGTGGAGGTTGCAGTGAGCTGAGATCGTGCCACTGCACTCCAGCCTGGCAACAGAGCAAGACTCCATCTCAAATAAATAAATAATGTTTGGCATATCATATAATCTGCTTTAATGATATTCTGTTACATTTAGGGGAAGAATTGGAGATTGAGTTATCAGATACAATGGTCAAGTCATCAAGCCAGACAAAACTGAAAAATTGTATACAGTTGTGAAAAAAATACATGTTGATTTGGCATTTTGTTGTCGGAAAACTGGTTTTCTGTTAAAAACATTAAAGCTAATCTCTTAATTGCTTAAGGTACTTGGTAATCAAATAATGCCTGGATCTCTTAATATGAAGATCAAGTTTGTGTGTGCCCAGTGTCTGAGAAACGGTCAAGTCATTGAACCAGACAAAAACAGAAAATATTGTAGTGCAAAAGCAAGGCATTCGTAAGTATTGCGTGTGGAAACAATGCCTATTTTGTCATTTTCTGTTTCATAGGTATAAAATCATACACATCAGAAAAATGCTTAAAGCTTTGAAGAGAGGAGAGAAAAATAGCTAATTTAGGAGTATTTACAAACACAAGGGAAGAGATTTTTAGGACCTAGTAGATAAGAATTCAAAAGTAGTGGGTTTTTTCCCTGTATTTTATCAGTTCTTTGTTTAGAGTTGGTAGGGAATGTTTGTAAATGTTAATAGAAAGTGAAAATATAGAATCATAAGGCATTTCTTTTAGAAGCATTGAGAAAAAAAATTCTCCGTTTCCTCGGGTACAAACTTTGTACCTCTCCCGTTGTGTATGTCTTCTGCTTGTGTGTCTTTGTTTTTTTCTGAACTCCATTTTTCTTAGGTGGACCAAAGACCGGCGTGCGATGAGAGTGATGTCTATTGAACGTAAGAAGTGGATGAACATCCGTCCTCTCCCCACAAAGAAACAAATGCCTTTACAGTTTGATGTACATACGTAATTTTTAAGCCACTTTTTTTTTTAATTAGGCATTTCAAATCATTAGAAAATAGTAGTAATTCAGATTGGAACTCAAGGCCTTTAGATAATATTCATCAGTAATAATGTGATTTAAATGGTTCCTCTGTTTTCCTTCCCCTTTAGTATATGTATGGTTCCAGAGCAGTTTTCATACTGATGGAATTTTATGAGTTACTTGGAAAAAGTAAATAGATAGTGGATCTGAGGAAAAGTTATGGGGACAATTTAACTTATTTTTTAGATGAATTACTTTGGGGAGGGAGCAAATTTTATTAATTGTGATTCCTTTGGTTTGATACCAAACCCAAGGTTTTCAGTAGTATTATGAATGCTGTTGATGAGTTTGTTTTTATCATTCCTTGTCTCTTTCACTGAATCAAGGGATACTTAGCTATACGACACCTAACTTTATCAGACTTTCTAAAAGTAACCCAAAGGAAAATGTTCAATGTTAGAAGGAACATGCCCTTCAAAACTGGAAAATACTAGTCCGACTTAAAGTTAAGATAGTATTTCATTCAGCAGTGCCACATTCCATCTTGGTACACTGTAGCATCTTCCCTGATATTGCAGATGACTGTTTGCGCAAACTACTTGAGTTTTCCTGGACTTTCCTCTTTACAAGAGAGAGGATCTGGAGACCATCTAGAGGTACTTGACACTTGCGTTAGCAGACAGGGACACTTGGAGCATTGACAGGTAGTATAAGCTGTCTCCCCAGATGGAGGAAATGTGGAAGGAACCTTTTGCCCAGAGAAGCAGGGCAGGTGGACCGAAGAGTCCCCTTGTAAATGAGACCTCCCTCTGAACTGCAGGAAAGTGTTGAAGATGTATCTTTCACCACCTACAGTAGTTTACAGTTTTATAAAACTTGCAAGAGTAACAGTCTTTGCAAGGCAGTGGTATGTTTATGTTTTATCCAAGTGGTTTTAGACTCAGATTTTTTTAGTGGGTTATGTAGGAGGGGGAAAGAGGTTTATTTGTAACCCTGATTTCTTGTGGTTTAAAGGATGATGGAGATAATATGTATATCAAGAACTTTGTTAAAATGAGGACAACTAGGAACAACCCAGTTCCTGAGGCAGCTGCTTAGAGTGTTGGTTATTCTTGAATCTCAAACATGGTGTATTACTGTGTGACATTACAGTAGCTGATTTCCTCTTTTTTTTCCCCTGCCATACTAGGTATTACTAAGGGACCTTTTTTCTTAAAGAAGAAATTTTGCTGTGTGTGTGTATGTATGTAGACAGTGTGGTGAGGTGCAAAGACAGTGGCTTCAAAGCCTGCCCGAAGGGCCCTGGTCAAGTTATTCAGCCTCAGTTTGCTCATCTGAAGCAAACTGAATTACCTCTAGATGCTCTCCAGACCCTCTCTCCCATGAGTAGGAAAGTCCAGGACAACTCAGGTGGTTTTCTCGGACAGTCATCTTCAAGATCAGAATAATTACGTGCGATGGTGTTATGTAAACACCCAGCACAGTGCCCGGCTGTCTCCTTTACCTTCTCTTCTCCCTGCTCGTTATCATTGAGCTTTAAAAGACTATGGTAAATGTTTCCCTAGTAATATGACTAAATACTTATTGGGGTTTGTTGGGGGAAAGAATATGACTATTTTATGCACTACTGACTTTATGCAGAAAACTTTAAGGGTGGGGTCACTGACATTGGTCCTAGGCAGGAAATGTGCAGTGTTAACAGGGCTGTCCGAGCTTTAGCAAAAACTCTGAAAAACGTGACAGATGCTAAGCATTTAATGTCATGTAAGCTAAATAATATAGGGCCAGCTCCCGTTGAAGCACAAACTAAGATAAGCTAATAATTAGTTGTACTAGGATTTCTGCCTCTTACGGACAAGTAGGTTGATGGTATTCAAGAACGGACTGTCAGTCATGGAGGTTTTCTTGGTTCCGGGGTCATGATTCTTATGGAAGTCTGCATTCTGCTGATCACGATCACTTTATTTTCCTACCAGTATCACTGTGTTTACTTTGTTAAATAAAAATACCAATAACCTGAAGAGGTATTATTTGAAAGCTGTGTAACTCCATGGTATGGCTAGTGTGAGAACTGTCTTCTGATAATGCATATGTAGTGAATTCTGGCCGAGGTTAGCGTCCAGTACTGATTATAAGTAAGTTAAATTTCTGAAATGTTTTGGGTACTGTTTAGTAACCTTTGGAGTAGGCTGCAGTTTCTTTACTGCATTCGAGTGCTGATGTGGAGGAATCAGGAGTGTTCTGCAGGGGACACAGGAGCTGTCAGACTGAGAGAGCCAGAGATGTTCATTATGAGATTAAATGTTCTGAATAAGTGAGTTTATAGACGTTTGCTTGTAAGAAAATGTTCCATGCTTTACTCTGTTGTGGAAATTTTCTTTTGAAAAATTTTGAGATGGAAACCTTAATATCAATGTCATCTCATATATTTAGGGCATATAGTCAGTTTGAATAGAGTCAAATTGATCTTACTTTATAATTTGATTACTAAGTATTAGCATGGATAATTAATGCTTATTTTGCTTAAATGTAAAAATTAGGCAGTTTTATTATGTGTACTTTGTTTTAATCATATTCATGTTTTTTTAATACAGCTGTGCAACCACATTGCTTCTGGGAAAAAATGTCAATATGTTGGAAACTGTTCCTTTGCTCATAGTCCTGAGGAAAGAGAAGTTTGGACTTACATGAAGGAGAATGGGAGTAAGTTAATCTTTTAGCTGTGTCCTTGAGCTAGCTGGCCTGAAAGTTCCTTTCCTCTCTATAAATATGCCGGCTTCCTGTGAACACAGAAAGCAGTTTGCATTCTAAATGGCTGCACCCTGTTTTGTCAGTAGCTCTGTTGGTGATGCCTGGGAAATGTGGGCACAGCCTCAGGGGGGTAGGATCTGCATCTGATCTGTGTTTGGTTAGGTCAGATTTGGATATAAATATATAGGTCTGTATCCTTAAATTTAATAGAGGTATTCCTAAAAAATGGCTTCGGGGGGAAATTCACTACTCCTTGACTGTTTAAATCAGATCATCTGCTCGTATTGGAAATAGTTTGCCCTCTGAATTAACCAGGTTAGAATTGGGGGTTTCTTCAGGGAGCCATTACTAATCAAACAGGCTCAGAATCAGAGGTCCAAGGAAAGAATGTTTATCTTGGTCAAATTCCAAGTTTATTGTGGGAGCCTTTGAGAGGAGCTGCAGACAACCTTTCACTTTTGACCATAAAATGTTTTACTACAAGGAACATTATTCTTTAATCTTAAGTAAACTGATGAAAGGTATACTGACCGCAGACTGGATTTTAAGAACCAACCAGATTTGACTGTCGCCTGCCATGTTTCAACTACATAAATAGTCACTGATGGGTGGAGGGGATTCCCTCTAGCTGTCTTGTTCAAAGTAAAGCCATGCAGTCCTGCCGTACTGAAGATGCCCTTACATACCAGGCTCTTGCAATGACTCCTGCCACCACTGGTCTTAAGGAAGAAAGAGTTGGAGTTTCTCTCTAATCTTTGCCTGATGATACATTGTTAGAAACCGTGAGCAGACAACAAAGCTAAGTTTTGACCAGATTCTCATTACCAGAGTTTTTAGCACAGTGGTTCTCAACTGGGAACAAGTTTTGCCACTCACCTCCCCTTCCCTGGGGACATTTGGCAATGTCTATAGAGACATTTTCATTGTCATGATTGACAGAAGTTGCTACTGGAATCTGGTGTGTAGAGGCCAGGGATGCTGCTGACCATCCTGTAATGCATAGGGCATGTCCCCAGCAAAGAATTCTCTAGCCAGAATGTCAATTGCACAGAGGTTGAGAAACCTCGGCTGTAGTACTTGGCAATAATGCAGAATACACCTATTCTTGCCATAGGAAGCAACTGGCAGCCACTGCCCAGGACTTGGTCATGGTTGTCTTGTCAGTTGCAGCCTAGCATGTCTGCCCGCTGGGACTGTGGCTTGACTGATGGACTCCCATCAGGGTCAGAATCTTGGTCCAGTAGTAGCATGTTTCTCATCTTTCTCAGTAAGCAGTGAGGAGTATATCAGCTCCAAGTCCCCCAAGCCACGTAAGTAGCCTTGTGTGGTTCTAGCTCTGACACTGAGTGTGGAATGCAGGGCGACAGAGGCAGTGCTGAGGCTTTTGTGGCAATACCATTTATAATGGTTTCTGAGTTTTAAACACCCCAAAGTGTTATGCAAATGCAGGGGGGCGTTCATTAATCTTGAGAACTAACATTTGCCATCTAACAGTCCTGAAATTAGTTCTTATGCATGTGAGTTTACCTGCTGCTTGGACCGGGCGATCTCTCCATGTCTAATATAACAGTCTCCTTCAGCCCTCTTGAGTTTCTTTTGAAATGTATGCTGACTGATACAAAACGTGAACACAGTTGTATGTATTTAAATGGTGTTTAGTTGTAGCTGCTGAAAGTATTTCATTTTTCTTTAGTACAAGATATGGAGCAATTTTATGAACTCTGGCTAAAGAGTCAAAAAAATGAAAAAAGTGAAGATGTAGCCAGTCAGTCAAACAAGGAAAATGGAAAACAAATTCACATGCCAACAGATTATGCTGAAGTTACAGTAAGTACTGTGGCTCATTTCCCCTCACTTAGCCAAGCTGTTGATGGAGCCTTTTTTTTCTTTCCCATCTTCTCCAAAACCTGGCTCCATGACTTACTTACTGCCTGCCCTTCTCTGTTCTGTGTCTTCATCTTCTCTCTCTAATGGTTTCCTACCACTAGATGAGTTCTCCTCATGTGAAAAAATTCTTTTCTCAATCCTTCTGACTTGGGAGCCAGAGAATTGTAAATCCAAGTCCTCCTTTCTCTCCTTACTTGCCTGGCACCCTCAGTCAATTATTTATGTCTCCCAGTGGGGTTGTCTTGATGGATTAGTGAAGTGTGAGGAGTCTCTGACTCTTCCCCAGAGGGAGGCCCCAGCAGATGGCTCAGGAATGTGGGCTGTCTACTCCACTGGACCTTACATTCCCCACTTACCGCCTGCAGTCTGGCCTCTCCCTCTCTGGTTGTTGGGGACATTAAGTTACCAGTGGTCTGTTAACTGTTTTGGTTTTCTGTTAAAAATTTCAGAAAAGTGCAAGGATAATATAACGAATATCTTGAGCCCACCATTGCAAGTTAACTGATGTTAACAATTTGTTGTGGTTCCTTCTGTAAAATAAATAAAAGGCTACAGATAAAGTTGGAACCCCATATGTTCCCCTTCCCAGGGGGAACAGATCCAGTGTGTATTTTTCCAGGCGATGTTTACCTACGGATGACACATTTATTCTTAAAAAAATCTACAGTTCTGCTTGGTATGCCGTTAAAATTTTTCGTAAGTGTATGTGTTACAGCACTTATTTTTTGTTTTTTGGCAACTCGGTCTATTGAGACAGTTGGATTTATATTCACTGCCCCTTGCAGGGCTTAGGTGCGGCCTGGCCTTGCCCAGTGTGTCTTGCTTGTGACGTGCCCTGTGAATGTCTACCTTTGATTCCCTTGCTACCTTAGTGCTCCTTGGTGTTTGTTTTATAATATATATATATATATATATATATATATATATATATTTTTTTTTTTTTTTCTCTTCCTTTTTCTTTTCTTTTTTTTTGAGACAGGGTCTTGCTCTGTCACCCAGGCCAGAATATGTCATACGCTTATGGCTCACTGCAGCCACAACCTCCCAGACTCAGGTCATCCTCCTACCTCAGCCTTTTGAGTAGCTAGGGCTACAGGTGCTCACCACCCCACCTGGCTAATTTTTGTGTTTTTTATAGAGACGGGTATCTTGCCACATTGCCCACACTAGTCTCAAACTCTTGGGCTGAAGGCCTCCTCCTGCCTCAGCCTCCCAAAGTGCTGTGATTATAGGCATGAGCCACCATGCCTGGCTGCTCCATAGTGCTTCTAGAGAAGGGTCACCTCGACTTGCTGGATCATAAGGCTTACCTGGGGGTGGGCACAGTGGCTCACGCCTGTAGTCCCAGCACTTTAGGAGGCCGAAGCAGGCAGATCACCTAAGGTTAGGAGTTACAGACCAGCTTGGCCAACTTGGTGAAACCCCATCTCCACTAAAAAATGCAAAAAATTAGCCAGGCATGGTGGCGTGCACCTGTAATCCCAGCTACTTAGGAGGCTGAGGCAGGAGAATCACTGAAACCTGGGAGATGGAGGTTGCAGTGAGCCAAGATCACATCATTCCACTGCATCCTGGGCAACAGAGTGAGACTCCGTCTCAATAAACAAACAAACAAACAAATAAATAAATAAGGCTTACCGGGGGTGTTTAAAGAGTCTTGGAGCTGGGTGTGATAGCTTGCACCTGTAATCCTAGCCACTCAGGAGGCTGAGGTGGGAGGATCCTTTGAGCCCAGGAGTTCAGGCAGTAATGAGCTCTGATCTCACCACGGTACTCTAGCCTGGATGACAGCGAGACTGTGTCTCTAAAAGAAAGTCATGAAAAGTCTCATTCATACTCCACACTGAATGAGTCCAAATCTGTTTTTATCCAGTGTTGCAGATAATTATTGCCCAGGACATTTGGGAAATACTTTAGCACTTAGAGTTTGCATCTGTTGTAGCATTTAAATCCTCTCATAACAGTTCCTTTTGTATAGGTCTGTTCCCCACAGGGCCAGCGTCTTTATGTTCCTGATGCTATAGCAGGGACTCGGTTCATGCATACCAAATGGAGCTGCTGCTCGTCCTTTTGGAGTTGGCATGGGGCCTGGTCTTTCCCGTCCTCTGCTTTTCTTCATGGTGTTAATTCATTCCTGAATGCTTGTTTGTACCTGCCTCTTGTCCTCCCAGCAAACATCCTTGTTTGCATGCCAGCAACTATTGCTTCATTACTGGAGACTTCCTGGATAGGTGGCAGGATTTGTCATCCTTCTTCTCTGTGTCCTGAGTGGTGGCTTGCTTTCCCATGCTGTGCTCCTTTCCTTGTCCCTATTTCTTTCTTTTTTTTTTGAGATGGAGTCTTGCTCTGTCACCAGGCTGGAGTGCAGTGGCACACTATCTCGGCTCACTGCAACCTCCATCTCCCGGGTTCAAGCGATTCCCCTGACTCAGTCTCCTAAGTAGCTGGGACTATAGGCGTGTGCCACCACACTCAGCTAATTTTTTGCATTTTAGTAGAGATGGGTTTCACCATGGCCAGGAAGTTCTCCATCTCCTGACCTCATGATCTGCCCGCCTTGGCTTCCCAAAGTGCTGGGATTACAGGTGTGAGCCACTGCGTTCCGGGCCCTTGTCCCTATTTCTAAACTGAGTTTTATGTCTTGCCTGGCTCTCCCACCAGCCTGGGCTTTCTGGAATTGAGTCTGGATCTTAGATCAGGTGACCGATGGGATATGTGTCTTTGCTGCACATTAGGTGGACTTTCACTGCTGGATGTGTGGGAAAAACTGCAACAGTGAGAAGCAGTGGCAGGGCCACATCTCCTCTGAGAAGCACAAAGAGAAGGTTTTCCACACCGAGGACGACCAGTACTGCTGGCAGCACCGCTTCCCAACAGGGTATTTCAGTATTTGTGATAGGTATGTAGATTTTTACAAGTTTTCCATGTAAAAATTGCTGATCTCAAATTTTAATGGATATGTCAGCTGACCCAGAATATCTGGGTGCTAAAGTTCTAATGTTGCTGTGCCCTGACAGACCCTGAAGAATTCTTGGGTTTTGGCTGAAAGCGTTGAGTTGCTCATCAAACCATTCCTTTCACTCTTCTTAGGTTATATGAAAAGATTTAATAGTCTTCTAATACTAATTGAATAGAGAAGTATGTTCATTCCAATTTGTCCAAATGACTTTTGAGTTCACCATTGTGATTCTCTAACCCTTTGCCACAAACTTTGCTCACAGTAAATGTTCATCAGATTTGAAAAGGTTTTTACATTATATTTAAAATCTAAAAATTAGATCAAAGGAAGATGTTAATATGTATCACTCCTTTAAGTTTTCTTAGAAAGTTTTTCAGTATGGTGGGGCACAGTGGCTCATACCTGGAATCCCAGCACTTTGGTGGGTGAGGTAGGTGGGTCTCTTGAGGTCAGGAGTTCAAGACCAGCCTGGGCAACATGGTGAAACCCCATCTCTGCTAAAACTACAAAAATTAGCCAGGCATGGTGGCAGGTGCCTGTAATCCCAGCTACTTGGGAGGCTGAAGCAGGAGAATCACTTGAACCCAGGAGGTGGAGGTTGTAGTGAGCCCAGGTCGTGCCACTGCTGTCCAGCCTGGGCGACACGAGTGAGACTCTGTCTCAAAAAAAAAAAAAATTTTTTTTCAGTGAAAAACTAGATAATTCTGAATTGCTCATTTTGTTAAGTCACTGTCAGTATTTAATTCCCTAATTTAGATCCTTGTGATCCTTAAAAGTATTGAAGACATTTTTTCCTTAATGCCACCTCTGATTTATTTGTTACATCAGGAACAACTATAGTCTTTTTTCTCCTATCAGTCAATACTTTTCACAGAGTACATTTAAATAAAGTACTGATGTTTCCTTTTAAGATGGAGTCTCGCTCTGTCACCCAGGCTGGAGTGCAATGTTGCAGTCTCGGCTCACAGCAACCTCTGCCTCCTGGGTTCAAGTGATTCTCCTGCCTCAGCGTCCTGAGTAGCTCAGATTACAGGCACGCACCACCATGCCTGGCTAATTTTATTTTTACTAAAGACAGGGTTTCACCATGTTGGTCAGGCTGGTCTCGAACTTCTGACTTCAGGTGATCCGCCTGCCTCGGCCTCCCAAAGTGCCAGGACTACAGGTGTGAGCCACTGTGCCTGGCCCGAGTTTTCGATTGTAGATGTCATGGCTATAAAATATTTACCTTTCTAGGCTTGAGGTTCCTAACTAAAAGTTGTATGCAAATCATAAAGCTAGTGAAGCATACAGTTTCAAGAATCACAGCATGATTTTTTGAAATAACTTGTGGACGCTGAGCAGCTGACTTGTCCTCACAGGTATATGAATGGCACCTGCCCAGAAGGAAGCAGCTGTAAATTTGCACATGGAAACGCCGAACTTCATGAATGGGAAGAAAGAAGAGACGCCCTAAAGATGAAGCTCAACAAAGCACGAAAAGATCACTTAATTGCCCCAAATGATAATGACTTTGGAAAATATAGTTTTTTGTTTAAAGATTTAAACTAATATGCTGGCTTTTATGTATGATACCTAATCAGAGCATTGACCAGAAAAATTGAAAGTGTTCTAAGGCACATAGCAGAGGAGCTGCAGATTTTCTGCTTGTATTGGCGTATATCGTTCCTCCTGAGCAGCAACCCACAAGTAGGTAGGAAAATGGGCTGTTTCACAGGTCTGGCCACGCTCTCACGGAACCATTGGCATCAGATGGTGAAGTGACTGCTACCCGGTTGCCATCTGTTGAACAGACTTTTGGATGAAGTGTGTTGGGGAAGAGGATAAGGTTATATCTAGGACAGCTCTTTGAGTTGGTCCTTCATATTAAGAATCATGACGGTAAGAGAATCAACACTTGTACTGGGATCAGAATACATGATGGATGAAATTCTTTACATGTTTTAGCAGAATGAATTTGTTTAATATAATAAAGTTTGCTACTTATCTGTATGTAGGTTGCTAAAAAGGATTTTCTTAACTCAGATTTTAAGCCAAATAACCATTTAACACTAGTATTTGTTAAATGGGGTATTTTTCTGTATTTGTATGTTTCACTATAATAAGGGAATTAAGGATAATGTGCATTGAGAATATTTTGAAAAATAATTAATTGATTCAAATTTTATTTCTTGGTCTTTTGCTGTTTAAATGATGATTTTGAAAGATTAAACCTGTACTGTTGGTATTGTGTTAGTGTATGGACCAATACTGCCTGTAATAAAGATTTTATATATAGATGCCTTTCATTTTTTCCTGTGGTCCTTTCCCACAAAGAATTGATGATACTGGGTATAAAAATCAAATTGTTTTTTTCAAAAACATTTTCATTTAGGCAATGACTGACAGAATGCAAATTGGGACATGAAAGCAACTTTTGACTTCACCCTTCTCTCCTCCAACTTTGGGCTCAGGGACTGCTGTTACTGATTGGCTCTTCTATGTAAGTCTTCTTGGGGCACTGCTCTGTTTCATTCAAATGAGTTACACAAGCAGGGCGAAAAAAATGGTCAGCTGGTAAGACCTGGGCTGTGGGATTCCACCAGGACAGCTGTTTGGCATAAGGCATTTGATAGGGCTCAGGGGCTTTAAAGACAGGATCTACCAGGCTGTGATGTAGCCATCGTTTAAACCCTCAAGCAAAGTCACTTCCTCATGGGAACACTGAATGTGTGGGATATGGGGAAATAGAAAAGGGTCTTTTTTCTGTGTGAGTTGACTAACGGAGAGGAAGGCATGGCTACATGGAGTGAGAGGAGAGGAGTGACACGGGATGCTATCTGTGACTCTGTTAAAATACTAGGAGAGGCCAGGTGTGGTGGCTCACATCCAGCACTTTGGGAGGCCGAGGCAGGTGGCTCACTTGAGGTCAGGAGTTAGAGAACAGCCTGGCCAATGGTGAAACCCCGTCGCTACTAAAAACACAAAAATTAGCTGGGCGTGGTGGCAGGTGTCTATAATCCCAGCTACTTGGGAGGCTGAGGCAGAGAATCGCTTGAGCCCAGGAGGCGGAGGTTGCAGGGCCAAGATTGTGACATTGCCCTCCAGCCTGGGCGAAGAAGCAAGACTCCATCTCAAAAAAAAAAAAAAAAAAATACTAGGAGAGTCTCTGTTCCTTCCATGTGTGAGAGGTCAGTGGAGGCCAGTCACCGAACAGGGTGCATCAGGGGTGCATACTTTATTTTTTTTGAGACAGAGCTTCGCTCTTGTTACCCAGGCTGTAGTGCAATGGTGCGATCTCGGCTCACCGAAACCTCCGCCTCCTGGGTTCAGGCAATTCTGCCTCAGCCTCCTGAGTAGCTGGGATTACAGACACGTGCCACCATGCCCAGCTAATTTTTGGTATTTTTAGTAGAGACAGGGTTTCACCATGTTGACCAGGATGGTCTTGATCTCTTGACTTCATGATCCACTCGCCTTGGCCTCCCAAAGTGAGGGGTGCATTTTAACTGCAAAAATAATCGTGTGTTGCGGGTAATGTTTTCTGTAAAATGACATGGTAATATTATTCTGCTGAGGCTCCCTAGTCTGATGATGGTTGTTAAATTTTTTTCTTGTATGTACTTTCTCCCAAATTCCGTATGTCCTCCTTTTCCAGGGAGAGTAGATATTAAAAAGTTGTCTCTGGGCCGCGTGCGGTGGCTCACACCTGTAAGTCCAGCTACTTGGGAGGCTAAGGCAGGAGAATTCCTTGAACCGGCAGAGGTTGTAGCAATCGCAGCATTGCACTCCAGCCTGGGCGACAGAGTGGGATTCCATTTCAAAAAAAGAAAAAAGTTGTCTCTGATGTTCTGTTTTTTTGTTTGTTTTGTTTTGAGACAGTGTCTCTCTCACTCTGTCGCCCAGGCAGGAGTGCAGTGTCACGATCGGCTCACTGCAACCTTCCCTCCTGGGCTCAAGAGCTCCTCCCAACTCAGTCTCCCAAGTGGCTGGAATTACAGGCACACACCACCATGCCTGGCTAATTTTTGTATTTGTGGTAGAGACGGTGGTTTCACCAGGTAGGTCTCGAATTCCTGGTCTCAAGTGATCTGCCCACCTTAGCCTCCCAAAGTGCTGGGATTACAGGTGTAAGCCACCGCACCCAGCCTGTTTAATGATTAAAAAGCCAGTTGCTTTAACCTTTGGAATCTAGGCTAGAAAACAACCATTGAGGATCCTACAGGTGCATTTTCTGTGCCTCAGCTTTCCACCTTCTCAGCAGTTCTCTAAGCTCTGAACTATCTTTTATGTAAATTCCATTTCTGCAAACTTAGCCAGTTTCATGCTCTGGTTTGCAGCTCAGAACCCTGCCTGCCACAGCCTTGGTCTCAGCATTAGGAAGTCAATGTTAATTAGTCTGTGGTGAGATCACACCCCCATCCTATAAGTGCCGCCGGGTTTATTGCAGCAGCTTTGGAGAAGAACATGGTGTGCAGGGGAGGATAAAAGGAAAGGAAAAAACAGTGAACGAGCAAAACTCCAATCCTAATTTATTAGGAGAGGAAAGGATTAGCTGATGTGTCAATTTAGGCATGTTCTCTCATTGTGTTTTTTTAATGTTTACAAAATGATGACTGAGATACAATGCAATTGACATAAACTTTACCATTTTAAAGCATACAATTCCGTGGTGTTTAGCATATTCACAATGTTGTGCTATAATCATAATCAATTTTAGAATATTTTCATTACCTAAATAAAGCCCACATGCCTTAGCCATCACTCTCAGAATCTACGCACTTGTTCTGCCTCTCAAGCTTTGGGGAAGCACTACACTGCCTTTTGTCTCCAGGGATTCTCCTGTCCTAGACATTTCATATAAATGGAATCATACGATATGTGGCCTTTTACGACTGGCTTCTTTCCTTTAGCATAATTCTCCAAGGCTTGCCTGTGTCATGGCATGAATCGGTACTTCATTACTTTTTTTTTTTTTTTTAAGAGAGTTTCACTCTGTTGCCCAGGTTGGAGTGCAGTGGCATGATCTCAGCTCACTGCAACCTCTGCCTCCTGGATTCAAGCAATTCTCGGGCCTCAGCCTCTTGAGTAGCTGGGACTACAAGCACCTGCTACCACACCTGGCTAATTTTTTTTTTAAACAGAGTCTTGCTCTGTTGCCCAGGCTAGCGTGCAATGGTGTGATCTCAGCTCACTGCAACCTCTGCCTCCCCGGTTCAAGTAATTCTGCCTCAGCCTCCCAGGTAGCTGGGACTAGAGGTGCCCACCACCACAACCAGCTAACTTTTGTATTTTTAGTAGAGACAGGATTTAACCATATTGGCCAGGCTGATCTTAAACTTCTGACCTTGTGATCCGCCCACCTTGGCCTCCCAAAGTGCTGGGATTACAAGGCATGAGCCACCATGCCCAGCTCTTCATTACTTTTTGTAGCCACATAATACTCCACTGTTTGGATGGACCACATTTTAAAAAAACTTTATCCATCGGTTGATGGACATTTGGGTTGTTTTTGCTTTTTGGCTATTGTGAATATGAACAGTGCTGTGCAAGAATTGTGACTTCAGTTTTGTTTGGCTGTAGTGAGCCGCCACATCTGCCCTGAAGGTGTAAAGGCTGCAGATGAGTCTTTCTTACCCTTACGACCCCTTCTTCTCTGCATAGTGCTCCCACCCTGTGACTGAGGTGTCCTGGGCAGGGGGGACCACTGCCCAGAGGTGCCCACCCCTCTCCATCACTCATCCTTCCTGGAGCTTCCTAACCTCTGACAACTGTTTGTATAGAGCCCCCAACATTTGTTTTGATTTAGTTCCAGGGACTGCTCCAATTGGGAAACTGCAGGAGAGCAGATAGGGCAGGCTTCAAACACTCTTGGTTTTTTTTTTTTTTTTTAAGAGACAGGGTCTTGCTCTGTCCTCCAGGCTGGAGTAGAGTGGCACAACCTTAGCTTACTGTATCACTGTAGCCTCAACCTTTGGGCTTAGGGGACCCTCCTACCTCAGCCCCCCAAGTATCTAGGACTGACTACAGGTATGTACCACCCTGCCCAGCTAATGTTTTTTTGTATTTTATTTTTTGTAGGGTTAGTGCCTCACTATGTTGCCCAGGCTGATCTCTAACTCCTGGGCTTAAGCAATCCTCCTACCTTGGCCCCACAAAGTGCTGGGATTATACGCAAGAGCCACTGTGCCTAGCTCCTCAAACACTTCTTAATTGGCCTGGGGAGATGAGAATACATACTGCTTTATTTGATGCAAGGGATGAATGCCAATTTCTAGAAAGCCCATTCTGTGGTGATGATACAAAGTCTCCACCATTATCCAGAGTTCCTAGGCCAAGGGCCTGGCCTTTTCTTCTGTATAATCTGCTGTCCCATGTTATGTTAAGCATGTCTTGTTTTGTAAGTAAAGGCTTGGAAGCTTTCAAAATTAATAAGCATTGCCAACATAGTGAAACCCCATCTCTACTAAAAACACAAAAATTAGGCTGGGTACAGTGGCTCAGGCCTGTAATCCTAGCACTTTGGGAGGCTGAGGCACGCGAATCACCTGAGGTCAGGAGTTTGAGACCAGCCTAACCAACCTAGAGAAACCCTATTTCTACTAAAAATACAAAATTAGCTGGGTGTGGTGGTGCATGCCTATAATCCCAGCTACTGGGGAGGCTGAGGCAGGAAAATCGCTTGAACCTCGGAGGTGGAGATTGTGGTGAGCCAAGGTCATGCCATTGCACTCCAGCCTGGGCAACAAGAGTAAAACTCAGTCTCAAAAACAAAAACAAAAATTAGCTAGGCATGGTGGTGTATGCCTGTAGTCCCAGCTACTCAGGAGGCTGAGGCAGGAGAATCTTTTTTATTAGAGACTGGGTTTCACTATTTGGCCAGGCTGGTTTTGGACTCCTGATGTCGTGATTCACCCACCTTCCCCCGCAAAGTGCTGGGATTATAGGCATTAGCCACTGTGCCCAGCCAGGATAATCTTTTGAACCCAGGAGGCAAAGGCTGCAGTGAGCTGAGGTCACACCACCGCACTCCAGCCTGAGTAATAGAGCAAGACTCCATCTTAGGAAAAAAAAAAATGAAATTATTTCTCTCTGGCTACAAAGAAGGATTAATATCAGGGGGAAATCCATGGCCATGCATCACAGGAACATGTTCTGATAAACACATTGTTAGGTGCTATCAGTGTTGTGTGAACATCACTGAGTACACTCTCACAAACCTAGACAGTAGAGCCTACTACACACCGAGGTTATCTACCAGGTAGTGTATGGTATAGCCTGTTGCTCTTAGTCTATAAACCAGTATAGC